TACATGAATCTGCAGAAGCACACACTGTAGCTCCTGATTAGTAAACTGTCTCCAAGACATGCAGTCAGTCACATTTTATTTATTGTAGAATCTATCCAGCTATGAAACTGCAGAATGGTTAAATATGATTTAACTATGTCATTTCACCTGGAGAAGGAGGTGCACCATTATTAACATTAGTGTTTGAAAATTACTGCCTTACTCATTATAATAATCAATAAAGTCAAATGTTTTTTGGTTTTTATTGATCCATACCATGAGAATACAAAACCACTTTCCCAACATGATTCAAAAAGATTTATTTCTGAATCTGATTAAACTGTCTTTTTCTGGTAAAATGCATCACAATAATCCAAAAAGGTTAAAGTCAACAACACATCACAACAACTGTATGCCGCTGAAATGCTTCATAATTCACAAGCCTTTTCCCTTCAGCCCTGCGTCTTTCCCTACATGCATCTCTCCTGATCAATCTGATGCTCGCTCGCTTGGGAACAGCTGTTTACATGCGACATCACACCACGATCACAACTCTCCCTGAGCAAACCAAACACTGTCAAGGTTGCCATGGAAACCGAGCCTGTGCAAACCTGTTAAAAACCCACCAGGTAAAGGGGGGGCGACGACTTGCAAGGTGCGGGTCTCAACAACATCTCAGCTCAGCCATCCGCCGAGCTCACAGTAAGTTACAGTAAGCGGGATATGATGTTTCCATACAAACAAACAAAACCACTCGAGAGTCAAGAGAAACACCGGATATTGACGAACAAGTTAACACTCAAGATAAACCAATCCAATCAGAAACAGGAGCGGAGCATGTTTGTTGCCTCATCTTCACCCAGCCTGCAGGGATCCAGGCTGACAGACAGAAAGTGATAGCAGAGCAGTCGCTGTCATTCACAGACAAACTCAAGTGCATCTTATTGTCATGCAGATGACAGTTTGAGCTTCAGCAGCCGGAGAACTGCTTTTATTTCTGTCAACATGGCTGGATCAGAATTTAAATTGTAGCTTGATCATTACAGCCGTTATTAAAGATCTTCACATCAGTTGGTCGTCAGTCTGATCACCACTTTTGTCCAGACCGAAATATCTCAACAAGTACTGGACCAAGTAAAATGTGGTACAGACGTACCTGCCAACGTTTATGTTTGAAAGTAAGGAGCAAAGAGCAGCTGTGCACACGGCCCTTGGTTCAGGTTGTGGGTTGCCAGGTTGCGGTGACAGATGGGGGTGGGATTGTAGTGTGTGTGGATTGCGTGTGAGGATCAACTTGAGTGACGTCAGAAATCATCCAAGACTTGGATCCGTGTATGATGATTATTCATAATAAAGTTTGCAGGAATTCCCAGGACAAACAAGGACCAGGAGATGGTCCTGAAATACGGGAGAAACCCGGGAAAAACGTGAGATTTGGCAGGTTTGGTTCATGGTTTCATTGTCCCCAGAAGATGATAAGCTTTGCTAATCCTCTGACTTCTCCTTCAGCGCCACCATAAGGCCGACATTTGTGCCGTAAGATATACTTTATTAATCCCGCGAGGGGAAACTCTTTGTTTTCACTCTGTTATTATTATGTTAGTATTTGCACACAGCTCCGAAAGACACAGACAGGACCCATAGCAACATATACACGGAGAGATGTCAGAGTCAGGGGGCCCCGAGCAGCTCAAGGCCTCCTTCGGCAGCGCCCAGAAACAGGCACCTCTCCAGCTACCAGTCAACACTCCGCAACTCTGGTCCGAGCTGGATTTGAACTGGAGACCCTCCGGTTCCCAGCCTAATCCTTACAGACCAATTTGTTTTTACCTGCAAACCTAAGACATTCCCTCAGCCTCAGCTGTACTTTGTGTGTAGTGCTAATTAGCAAATACTGCATGCTAACATGTTAAACTAAGATGAACATGTTAGCATTGTCATTGTGAGTATGTTAGCATGCTTGAGTTAGCATCTAGCTCAAGGTACCACAACCTCACACAATCAGGGTAATTGTGTGTGTAAAATAGAAGAAAATAGACTGGTGGGCTTTGGGTTTCCATGCATCTAGCACAAGTGAAACACAAGAGGTCGCAACGCCTGTGCAGACAGCTGCATTTATTCAAATAGAGGCGTATCTGTTCCAGATATGCGCAAGATTGATTGAAAAGCATGAGTAGCATAGGCCTATCCGTTTTTAACTTCTGCCTTCTCTGTGTAGAAATGGTTCTGTGCAGTAATCTTATAAATATAAAACATGAGCTGACCAAAGTGCTTTACAAACACAGGCAAGAGAAAGACCAATTAGTAGTAGCAATTTAGATACATCCAAAGACCACAGAGACATTGAGCTGTGCTTTGAACCACTCAGTGAAGGGGGCACATCTGATGTGGTGGGGCAGTTTGTTCCACAGACTGGGGCCCGAAACTGAGAAGCTCGAGGGTCGACCAGAAATGACTGGTAAGGAGATGATCTAGTTGGGGAATAAGGAATTAGAATGTTATTTCTGTTGTAAATGTAAATGCTCCGTACTTGTATAGCGCCTTTCTAGTCTTTTCGACCACTCAGAGCACTTTTACACTACATCTGCATTCACCAGTCATACACTGAGCCTAAGTGCTCAAACAGAAAGTAACATTAACACACATTCATACGCTGGCGGAACAGCCGCCAGGGGCAATTCTGGGTTCACTTTCTTGCCCTAAGGACACTTCGACACGCCGGGGGAGCCGGAGATTGAACCGCCGACCTTAACGGCCAACCCGCTCTACCTCCTGAGCCACAGCCGCCCAAGACATTTGGGCTGTGTATTTATCCAGGCTTTGTACAACTACTTCATACATCCAGTGCTTCCACAGTTGTTCCTCTCAGCAGGGGTGTAACTATTTAATCCAATTTTGATTCAATTTAAATTAAATGCATCATAAAATCCCACATTCTGCTCATGATTTGAGTTGATTCAGTTTCAAAATGTGCAACAGCTCTTAAAATTGTAAAATGGAAACAGCAATTGATTCAAGAACAATTCAACACATCCGACCTCAGCCACAATCGACAGCAACTCAGTTTGCGGTGCATGCAGGAAGGAAGAGGGCAGACAGGGACGTGTCTGAGGAGGTTAGACAGCAGTCTGTGTCAGCCGTCATACGCGTTTGCTTTTTTAAAATCAGAAGCAAAGACTATGATGACAGAGTAGTGAGTTCAACTAATCAGCTGTTGGAAGGGTCCAACAATTTGTACAACCCAACCATCCAACCCACCTCCTCCTTAAGGGGGCTGCAATAAGAACACTGACAGACAAGCGTTATCACTTGACCACAAGAAGTTGTTGCCTGTAAATTTGTAAGTAGGGCTTTGTGTTTGAACAAATGACAGATACCAGTATTTTTGCTACTCTTAGCAAAAAATGACATCTGAAAAGATTTGAATACATCCCTATAGGCCCTGCTAAGAACGCCACAGTCAATGTGAGCCAAATTGGTAATTATTGATCATGTACAACGTAGATCTGTTTGTCATTTTACAACACAGAGTTGTATCTTACGAGATGTCTCCAGCTAACCATTGTTTGTGCCAACATTCAGCTGGTTGTCTTTACTTTAATGTCAAAATGGACCTCTGTTTTCAGAGTTCCAGGGTGTTAAAGTCTGTGGAGCTTCACCGCATCCATCACAGGACTCTAAAACTCTTCAGTGGAGCCCAGATTACTGCTGACAGGGAATGAATTACGGTCACCACAGAGCTCAGGGTGAGTGTGTGTGTGTGTGTGTGTGTGTGCGTGCGTGCGTGAGAGTGTGTTTCACCGCCGAATGGGAATCCTTCAGATCAACAAATAAACAAAGCAGGCCAGCGTTCCTCCTGTCAGCAGCATCTGCCAGCAGCAGGGAGGACACTTCGGTTTTTCCTGCCTCGTCTAATCCTGCATCCACGATCCCCCCCCCCCCCCCCCCCTTTAAAAAAAAACTCCTTCTGAACATCCTCCATCTGTTTCTTTTTTTTCAGTCTGTCAGACTCTTTCAGCCTATGTCCTCTGCTGTCACGTCCAATCCCTCCCTCTCTATCAAACATCTCTCTCCCCACTTCACCTCTCCACCCATCCCTCCGTCTTCCTCCATCTTTGTCTCTCCTTCGAATGACTTATTTAAACCCAGAAACGATTTCACATGTGGCAACATTCCCATTCTACCCTTAAATGACTAGAAAATTGGACCTCGGAGTGGCTCATTAAACCCTCAGCAGTCCAACCTTTCAGCCTGCAGCATTTATGTCTTTAAATGAAAAAGATTTTGACCCACACTCTGACACCTGATTCATTTTTACATCATGGGTAATTTCCCAAATGAAATGAGCAAACAAAGCCTGTGCAAATGCAACATAAAGGAGGAATTACAGAAGGGGTTCATTCTGATTCCCTCGCCGCCTTTGCTGAGTTGCTGCTGCACATGTAAATACTGTAGCTGCTTTCTCCTTTAATCTCCAGCAAAAACAAGAAGGATTGGATTAAATGGTTCTGAAAGGAGGAGGAGGATGGAGATGGAGGACACACTGCTGCTGCTGCCTCCCTCCTCCCTCCTCCTCCTCCTTCTTCGCTCTTCACCTCCCCTCCAAAATAAGAAAAAAGACACAAAAAAAAATCTCATCTCTGTCCACCAGCGTGGTAGATTTAAGAGGACAGACAGGGAGGCTGGGAACAATGACACCAGCTGGGCAACAACAATAGGAAATAAATATCATGTGGCAAGCAGGCGGTCATCCCTTCATCCAATCATCCATTTAAACATTCCTGCTGTGTGTCTGCTGCTGTACTGGCTTCTTTGTGGCCTTCACACCTGCATCTGACTGACTGTGTGTGCTCTGAATATCAAAAATATTCAATTTCTCTCCTTTTCTTTTAACGTTTTGCACCTTTAAATATTTACTACAATGTGGAAGCAGCTGCAGGTGTGAAGCGACAGCTGCCCCGTTTGTTGCTTTGTTGTCGGTGTGTTTTATTATTGGCCTGCAGACAATAAAAGCTGCCTACCTTCTCGGCTCCTCTGTGTTTCTTGGCCGCCGGCGTGTCGTCATGCTGCCGCCTGACAACAATAGCCCCTCCGCCGCTTTTAACTCCACAATCCAGCGCGGCTTTATTGGCAGCGCCGCCGCCGTTACTCGCGCAATTATTGTTATTGTTTACGTTGTTGCCGTTATCTCCCACGATCCTGGAGTCCGGCGCGGCGCAGTGGCAGTGTCCGGGGCCGTCGCGGCACAGATGATGCTCGGGCGCGGCGGAAGACGGGAGGAAGACGGAGGGAGGAGGAGACGAGCCATCGCCGGGCTTCTCCTTCCTCGCCCGGGCTGGAGGAGCCGGAGTAGCGGCGGCGTCCCTCTCCCTGTCCCTCTCCCTCTTCCAGCCCCGGATCACGTTTTTCCCCTTCCTCTCCTCCCTGCCTTTGGCGCAAGTCGCAGGAGAGGCCGTGGTCACTTCGGAGACGCCGTTGTTGATGTTGCTGCCGCTCCCGCCGCCGTCCGCGTCTCTGCTCACCGCCGAAATCATCTCCACACCTTCTCCACCGGCGCTGCGTCCTTGAGCTTCCCGACGCTGCTGCTGCTGCTGCTGCTGCTGCTGCTTACCGACCCCGACGCACAACTCGCCGCCGCCACGCACCGCGACGGCCGCCGCTGAGTGATCCGCCGCCTCACGTTCCTCTCTCCCCTCCCGGACGGCTCGGCAGCGTTTAGACGCGGATCTCCTCGGCTCCGACCCGCCGCCGCCGCCACCGCCGACAGGTCCCCGGGTCTGGAGCGAGGGCAGGGCCGCGTGTCTGTCGGCTGAGCCAGCGGCGCTGGAGGAAGAGGAGGAGGGGGAGGAGGTGGAGGCGGTGTGGTTGGGTGACAGCTCCCTGCAGTCCGTTAGCAGCCCCCTATTCTCCCCAGCTCTCAGGAAACGGTTCATCTCCTCCTTTCCTTGTGTCCTTTGTCGATCTTCACAATAATCAGCATTCAAGTCATTGTCAGCCCACCGCAGTGTGACAGAGAGCACCGAGCTATAGGTGGACACATGCAGGTCTGTTATAGGCTGCTGGATCAGGCCTGCTCCATCACAAACTACAACACAGGCAGAATGACAGCTTGGGGTTCCTGACAGACACGATAGGGGCTCGGTAGATATTATGTAGCTTAGCCCTTGTCATAATAAAGAAATATAGGCTACCCCTATATTTGAAAGGATAATAATAAAACACTAAAAATAAAGTTTTTAAAAAACACCCCAGAGTCACTGCAACATGTGCACATTCTGTTTTCAAATAAGAAAATGTTAAATAATAGCCTATGTGGACTAATAGGTGTTCTATTTTATCTTATTGTTAACAATAATATTAAAGAAATCCTTATTTATTTTATCTCCCACTGTGATTAATATCTTGACAAATATCTCAGAAGCCACAAATTAAAATTTTTTTTTTTCAATTTTTCAATTTTATTTTATTTTTTAGAAAATGACTGGTTGGCCATTGGGGGGCGCTGTTAGTGTTTGCTTATTGAATTGATTACACACCAACTCAGGTGTAGCTGATTGGATGTTTGTGAAAATTAATGGACTGATGCATATCATCAGTTGCTCCTTATGGGTTTTTTTAAATTGCACTGATTGGTCACGGGGGGCGCTATAATATCAGTGTAATGTTCTACTCCAATGCACCATTCCTGTAATTGCCTGTTGGTAATCATTAGTAAGCTCAGTATTCTTAATGGCATTTTGGGTAAAAGTATAATATTCCGGTAATGATCTAAAACAGGCTCTTCTGTTTTTTTCTCTAATTGCTACACTTTCCTAAATTACGATGGGACACTATGGTTTTGGGAGCCTGATGAAGCGCTGAGTATGCTGAGTGATAAGTATTCGCATGTCAGTGTTAATTAAAGATCCCTAAATATATACTTTTGAGAGCTAAACTAAGTGTGCAGTCACTTCCCCAAACACATGCGGCTTATATTTTCTGAGGTTATTGTGCTTAGTTTTAAATTCACTGTCAACAGTATGAAGGAAAAATATACATTTATAATGTCACGGTAAAAACACATAGCCTACCATAGAGAAGTTCTCTAAAGCTGGAGTGAATCATAAATTACATTAAGTTACATGATATAAGTTAACAGTCCTATAGTAGTAAAGTACTTGACAGCATAATAAAACAAAAAAACTGTAAAGCAGAATAAAGGCAAATATAGACACACATACTATTTTTTTTTTTACATTACATTTATACCTAGAACAACAATGTAAAAGTAATTCACTAGAGAAAGCTGAACTGAATGAAAAGGTGCACTAATGCTGCTTGCAAACAATATGGAGACTTGTGCGTTATGACCTGGGTGATCTGCTGGGTTTGCAAACTGGGAGCTTGTCTGATATGGCCTGCCAAGATATGATATGCCAAGAAGAAAAAACAAAAACATGTTTCTAAGGACCAGAGAGATGTGACGATTCAGGGAATTGCAATAATCCCGCCTGCTCAATTTGAACGCATGCATTGGATATTCGGAGTCAGACAGGGAAAGAAAGCCTCTGGTTTCTGAGCTGTTTCTAAGATAGAGAAACATAAACATCCTTTTAAAATACAATATGTAAAATACGAGGGGATTTGTGTGCTCGGATCTCCACTGTATAGAAACCTTCTCAGATCATCAGATTAAAGAGTGAAAAAGCAGAATAAACAGGACTGAGCTCACACGAATAAAAAGTGTATAAATCCACAGATTACTGTCACGCAAGTTACTGCTGTTGGTGTGATGAAGAAATATTCAGAGATGCCGCCTCTCTCTGTAGCTGCATGTGTGATGAAGAAATATCATTTTGCAAACCTGAACAGTCAATACAGACAGGAGTTCATTATCAGAGTCACTTAAAGGGACACGTGGAATGAATACAGCAATAAATACACCAGGAGCGCACTTAGTGTATTAAGACATTTGATATCTGAAACTTGAATCATCCTGGAGAAAATGGCTAAATGAGACAGGCAGTAGGTTACAGGAAAGTATTTAGTTGTGTGTGGCTCTGAGCAGTGTTATTGCAGCTGTAGAGGGAAGGAGAGTCAGTTCACTCTCTTTCACATGACATTTGTTCTGAATGATTTAGACGCAGGAATTTATTGGTTTTAGAGAAGCTCTTGACAGGATGGAAATTATCTGAAGGCAGAGACTGATATACATTAATATTTTTAGTCTGAGAGACAGTTTTCTGTGCCAATATTCAGAGCTCTCTGCTTGGACCTCATTTATTTTATCTCCCAAAGGACACATAGCTCTTTCATCTGCTCTCATTAGAATTTATTCTTTATTACACTAAGAAAAGTACATTTTGAGTCCAAATTGTTTCTCCATCAGGCAGGCCTACACAAGGAGCAAACAGATTTGGGTGTGAGTTATTGGAAAATGTGTCTTAAGCTACGTTCACACTGCAGACCTTAATGCTCAATTGCAATTTATTGCCCAGGTCAGATTTTTTTGAATGACTGTTCCACATTATATTGTAATTGTGGCCCATGTCAGACTCCAGTGGGAAGTGGCCATGGCCTGAAAATGACCCACATATGCAAAAGAATAATGCGACATCACACGCAGCATGAAACTCAAGGATCCAAGTAAGGAGGGCTCCATTAAAATGAAAAGAAATGCTTTACATTGAAAGTACAAATGACAGTCAGCTTGTCTGTCATTGACCAGAGTCACTGATAAGAGATTTGGGGCAGCAGGGGAAAGAAGAGGGTTCAGTGAAATGTCAACAGTATATCACTGTAACACACTGGACTGTCGCAAACCAAGCAAACAGAGCCACTGTACAGTCAGTCGCAGACAGTAAGACCATGTTTATTTTGCAGGGGTTGAGGAGGCGTGTCATTTGTGACCACAACATGTCCTACAGTATATATCTGGGGAAAAAAGTGGAGTACAGACAAATATACTCGAAATAGTCCAAAGCAATGTAACAAGGACTGCTGAACTAAGGGAAAACGCAGAGAGTGATGGAAGGTGGGTTTATTGAAATCCCAGTGTAGCACACGCCCCATCAGATTACATCGCAAGTGTCAGCAAGTGATTCTGTCTCTGCAATGGAGAACTACAGCGCAGACGACTCCTTTCTATTTAAAAGGAGGAGCACAATGTCCAATCCTCCCTGTGCTCCGTCCAACACACCCGGACATCACAGGTAAGAAAATAAGACACCGAAAACAAAAAGTTTCCTAACTTTAAAAAAACAGAAAAAGTCTCCAGTGTTGACACTTTCAAAGAATGTCATCTCAATTTAGAGTGTCTGCGAGTGGAGCTGTTTTCTTATCTCTGTCCATGCTAAATACCCGCTTCTTCTTCTTTTGTATACTTCAAATAAGTGTATTTTTTTTTCTGGAAATCACATTTTGGCCTCACCGTGGAGGACTGGACATCTGTGTATTTCCAACAGCACATGTTCTCTTTTACAGACTGAGCCTGTTACTGAAAGAGAGTGTCGCATTATGTGTTTGCAACCTTGAACCAGCAGAGTTCTTTCTTTTTCAAACTTGTAGTCTTCAGCCCCAACCGACACAGATTCAAGTCACATCCTTTATCAGACACATATCAGCCATCACACAGCTCCCTCTTCAAACACTAAATGCTTTAAACTACTTGTTTTGCATGCATAGTCATGCTCCTCAACACCTGGCAACTAACTATGATGTGAAAAAATCTGTGGAGTTCCCCCTTTAATATCACCAATCCGTCCATCTACGCTGGAGTGAGTCAGCCTCAAACGTGTCGAGTAAACCCAGTTCAAAGTGCACTGGTTTTCTGTTTGCTCATGCTGCCTGTTCTGCTGCCACAGAAGAAATGCATTCTTAAAGAGTGAAAAGTAGAGCAGATGTTTCTGTCCTGTTGGAGCAGTGTTTGTTGTAACCAGGAAAAAAATAATTTGTAATGTTTGAAAAGAAAGGGGTACTCCAGGGATTTATTATTTCATTTCCATTTCCAACTTGGGGGACATCTTTTTTTTTTAAATGGTTAAAATTGATACAGTAGTGTCAGACGTGTCCTGTGAGATAAATGTATTGACGCATCATGTTTTTAGCAACAAATCCTGAGCTGCAGTTCATAAAGTTTGTTTTTTCAGTGGGCGTCTGGTCTCTGTTTACACACAGGAGACGCAGTTTGCACCAATGATTACTCTCTCAGTGTGTGTCACTACAGCTTAATATGAATCAATCCAGCAAAAGTGAATTACATTTCCTCAACTCTATTTCCTTAGCATTTGGAATTAAATTGTCCAGCACTGGCTGTTCAGGCTGTTCAGCATTCAGTAGAATATATAATATACAATATATACTCCAATAGAACAATGGAGCCATATCACAGCAAGAGATTAATAATTATTTCATTAGAATTTGGGGCACAGATTAATATTCTGTAAAGTAAGAATTCAGAGACAAATAAAAATGAAAGTACCAGCAATGTATGCAAAATAAAAATAAATGATTGTGTAGCATTATAATACTAATCTGATAATTATAAGTTAGTAATTTAAAATGATGGAAATGAGACAAACTATAAAAAGATGAATCAGCAAGGTTGAAAGTAGAACAAAATGAATGTGCTGTGGGAAAAAATATAAATAACACAACACTGTTTGTATTTCAAAAAAACCACCTGCAGTTTCTGTTGTGGTTGTTCAACACCAGCGTGTCAGACTGCTGCTTTGATCCTGTTTCTCTGCATGTGGTCGTAGAGGCCTGCACTGTGTCTTTGTGTGGGTGTGTCTCTGTAAAATCACTATTGGAGACTCATCAGTTTGTCAGTCAGTAAAGAATTGATACACAACAAATATTAGAAACATCTGGCAGTCAATAACACTGATGCAGTATTGTCCAGTCCCCTTCTTCAAAGGACCGTTTCAGGGTTCAGACTTGGTCTAAAGTTAGAAATATATTTAGGTTAGACGAATAGTTCAAGATAGACTTTGAATACTACCAGGTTGCCAGAAAGAGTTGGTGAGCACAGGTTTAGTTTTTTTTGTCTCTGCACAGATTAGACTAGACTTTAGGAAGGAACAGTCTCTGTTCCTGACTCCATTCCTGACTGTTGTTCAACAACAAATAGTTCCAGCAAAAAATCCCCCTATGGACTCTATAAAATATGGACGTAGTATCTTTGACATCGAAGTCTTTAAGCTAAGCTTGGCTAACCACTTTCTGGCTCGAGATATGTACTTTACAAATTTTTCTCATTCACTCTCAGAAAGTGATTCCGATACGATACGATACGATAACAATATATTTGATTGTCCCTTAGGGAAATTCATTCATTTTGGGCTCATTGATGCTGCATACATTACCAACCATCAATAATTTACAATCAACAGACAAACAGACATCTGATAAACATTGAAGCTAGTCACCAACCTTGCACATGTCAAGATATTGCACGTCACTGTACTGCTAAAACCTTCTATTGCACTCGTAACATTATTACACGGGAAGGTAGCAGTGTGTTGCACATAGACTATTTTAGGTCTGTGACGGACTCTTACTGAGAAGACTGATGGAAAAGCAATTGATCATATTTCCCAAAATGTTGAACTGTTCCTTTAAGGTTAGACTTACAGGTCAGGAAACGTAATATCAGTCAGTGAGGGTGTGATTGTGTATTTGTGTATGTGCATAAGCACATGCTGGGCCATTTTACTTGTGCATTCATATATATATATATATATATATATATTTTTTTTTTACAAAAGTGGATTTGTGGATTTGTATTTATCTTTGTGTTTTGTGTCAGTCAGTGTGATTGTGCATGTGCATATACTGTACACGCGCATGTGTGTGTGTGTGTGTGTGCAGGATAATAGCTGCATCATATCTCATCATTCAGGCTGAACTAAATCTATGCAGGGAAATGTTTTCACACAGTTAAAAGCAGTTATTCTGATTATTTGCAGTGTGTTTGTTTCATTTGGCCTCTTTGCTTCAGAGTGAATAATGGTACAATACATTATCTGTACTTTTAGATCATTTTCATTTCATTTTAATTGGCACCACAACCACCAGCAGGCATCTGCACACCTGCTGAAGCCCTTGGAAACCACACTGGTCTTCCACTCCTACAAGCATGATGACGTGGCAGCTTTGTTTTTGTAATACTTCAGATGTTTTACTGAATACATGCATGCAAGCATCTATTTTTGATCATCTGATTAATTTCTTAAGATCATTTTCTTGACTAAAGTACAATATCAACAAGCCCTGACTTGCAGAGTGGCTCTTTGTCAAAATGTTAGTTTTAAGACCTTAATGATTTTATATTGTGCTCACATGGCTCAATTTCCCTATTGCGTTTCTTGAGATAACTGAATGTATTTTGAACTTACCAGAAATTTGGGAATTAGTTGTAGATAGTATATTACAAAAAAACTAATACCTGCTGTAAGCAGAGTCAAATGAAATTGCCAGATTTTTGAAGGGAGGCTGGTGACTTTCTCCCTGTAACACAAACTTCAACCACATCATTCTCTACTTACCTGTTGAAAACACAAAGAAAGCATTAGCTCACTGGACTGTTGTTGTACAGGACTGCAGTCAGTGTAAAGTGATACAACAGATGATATCTGCCGGACCCTATTGTCCTGCATTGGTCTATTTAATAAATATTTAGTAAATGGTAGCAGTTAACAAAGGGGAACTAACCAGATTAAATCCAGTTCGGCAGCCTTGACGGGTAAAAAAGAGAAGAAAGTTTTGTTCCCATGTAAACTGAGCTTGAAAGAGCCGCATGGGAAATGATTGTGTTCCCATGTATCTCATATTGTTCTGTGTGCCAGGATTTTAAGTGAACAGAACAGAAGAAGAAGTTTTTAAGAAGTTTTATAAAATGTACAGCAATGTAGATAAGAGCAAAAATGAAACTTCGCTCTCCAAACAAAGCTGCTTGTCACTGATCAAAGGTTTAAATGCTCACTGACACACACACACACACACTACCCTGCCCTGCCACCTGATTGGCTGTGACACGTGAGATCAGGTGGCCCACAGGCAGGTGAGGGAGCAGAGGATCAGGCTGCAGGGTCAGTTCACCTCTCAGTTCTCACAGCAGCAGACAGGCAGACAGGACGGCCGGACAGACGGGCGTTTGGTCGGTAAAAACTGTTGAGCGTGATGACAGAACAGTGTGTGAGCAGGAAGACGACGCAGGAAGATGCCAGGAAGTGTAACAGAGAAACCGCAAAGCACGAAAGGGATTATCAGTGAGTTTCTGACTGCAAAGACAATCAAAGAGAAGATGTCTAAACAATATAGTGTGGATACTGGTATTAGTTGTTAGTGGTAACAGTCGTGTTTTTATTAGTAGTAGTACTGGCATGCTGGCATTAGTTTACTTCAGTTAGTTCAAGTTGTAGCCTAGTTGTTATAGAAGAAAGCTGTAACAACTAGTTGATTAATCGATTGGTCAATTGACAGAACATTTAAAAAGTTGTTATTTTTTTACTCCAGCCTCTCAAATGTGAGGATGTGCTGCTTTTCTTTGTCACATATCGTGGTAAATTGGATATAATTGAATTTTGGACTGTTGGTCAGACAAAACCATCAAACTGAAAATGTCACCTTGGTCTCTTTTTTCTATCAATAATGAAAATAACTGTTGGTTTGCAACTACACCCAGACTGATAAATCAGCAGACAGGTTATTAGCTTATCAAAGATCATGCTAACCCTTATCTCTGTCTACAGGCTGTTGACCGATATGTTTAAGGTCATTTAGAAATGGAGTTTCCATGACAGAGTTTATTCACCAGAGAGCACTGACAAGTTTGTTTTGTGTAATATTGGGTACAATAAGAATCAAATTTAAAGAGATCTTGTCAGAAATGTTTGTTATGTTTGTTTAAAACAACAACAAGGAACTTATGTTGATTGTCTCGTCACAAAGATCGTGATCTGGCAAGCGAATGCATTTGTTTTGGAAGCAAGTGACAGAAAGATTGGCTATGTAAGCTTAATAACTGTAATATGACGATGGTGAAACAAGTGTCCAGGTCACATGTAAGCCTACAACTAACAGATTTGTTTGCTTGTTAATAGTAATTTTGTTGAAAGAAGTTATTAACATTCGTATTCCGGAAATATCCACCGGACTGTATACAGCAAAATAAAATGCACATTTCACATACCTGTCAAGGAGGAAGAGTGCCACTTCAGGATCAGGACTGAAACCTTTCAAGTCCAGCAGTTCTCTCCATCAGTTGAACAACCGACTAAAGTTAACTCATGTTTTCGCCAGTTCTCTTTGCTTTGCTGATCCTGCCCCAGTTTCAGCCAGGACAATGTGTAATAATATTCCCCAAAGAAAAATCTCCTGCTTCCCTTATACTGGCTAGCGTACTACTCGCTGCGATAACTTTGACAGGGAAAAAGCAAACATGTTTATGTTAAAGAAAAAAATAATATTAGCTGATTCTATCATATGATCTATTTGTTAAAGTAGTTGATCTGATTGTACTGATGCCTATGTGTTCATGTAGCCTACCATTTGTTCTTAATCTGCTCTCTCTAGCCACTTCTACCTGCTGGCTGTTGCTGCTAAATAAAGTATTTTGTATAATTTTGGTGTGTCTGAATGTTGTTTTCTTCCTGTCTATAGTTCAGATGCAGAAAATGTGGAGGAGCGGCATAAATATGAGAGGATGGTCAGCGAGTCTCTGCAGGCTGTCGATCCAAATCTGCAGGAGCTCTCAGGCAGGAGGAAACCAGCATTAGTCAGGTTACTGGTTTTCTTAACTAACCAAGATTTAATTAAGATTAAAAAAGATAAAACAATGTATAAATAACATTACACTTAGGTCAATAAGCTTAAAACTGTCAATTTGAAAAAAAGATTGTTCTATTAAGACAATGAAATGATTAAATTGTAATACCCAAGATAATGGGCTCTATAAAGCAACCAAGGACCCCCCCAAGCTTCAGCAAGTGGTGCTCAAACAGTAAACATCTTGGTCCAAATAAGACTAAAAGTACCTTACGGACATTAAAACAGTCAATTCAGTCCTAAAAAACTTCAAAGTTAAGTTGTATGTATAAAGTGCCAATTCATAACAGAAGTTTTGTCATTGCAGGTCCAGACTGGACTCTTTGTAATAGTATTTACAGAGACCCAACAATATCCACCATGAGCAAGCACTTAGCAACAGTGGCAAGAAAAACTGCCTTATAACAGGCAGCACAACTTCCACAAGACAGTAGGACTGATAATTATAATGGTAGCAGTCATTTTATGTGTGAGCACTCAGGTTGTGGTTGACCATCAGACCATACATAAGCACGTAAATAAAATCGTGAGCTTTAGTTCTACATCGCAGACGATTTACTCATACAGTGTGAGTTGGAATAAAACAACAAGATTTCTAAAATCATACAGTTTATGCCCAGCTATACTGTGTTGAATCTTGTAACATTTCTGTAACGCTTTCAACATGACACAAGTCTGAATTAAAAGCTGTCAGATTAATGAAAAGACTGCAGCAGCACAGGGTAAAAACGAATGCATGCAAATGCATCTTCTTCCACCTTTCAACGTCACTGCAATGCACAGTGACAATAAAATAAGTTTAATAAACTATGAAACACGATGAAAGAGCCAATTTTAAGTGGTTGAGGAGATTATTCTCATATAGGTCGGTCTCTCACTGTTAAAATGCCTTCATTCAGCCTAATAGACCTACTGCTTATACTGGTGTTAAGTGATAAATATTTCTAATGTTTTCTATTTAATCTCATTTTAGATCATTTACTGCATATGGTTCTTTGTTTTTGGTGACCTATCACAAATAGCATTATATAAATATACCTATCTAGTGCAACAAAAAAACATATTTGAATTAGAGAACAAAGGGTTACAGACACGCAGACTGTCATGTAAGGTGTAATATAATAGAATATAATGTATATATATAATATAATGTACTTCCTCTCAAACTGTATTGAATTTTTATCTGTAGGTCAAAGACCTTCGACCACTCACTGCTGACTCAGGTTCAGACAGAGTCGGACTCCAAGATAGAGAGGAAGAAGTCTCACTACAGCCAGGTAAGCATTCATTTAGTAAAGTCTGATACCTATGTTATTACATCTATAAACATTAAATCATCCGAACTGTGCAAAACTCAGGAAGTTGTTTTTCCAGCTGAGTGATATCAGAAATAATTTGGGCTGACTGTCTTGTTTATATTTCAGTTTATTAAAGTAGCAGTTTTCTTAGCCCTTTACTTTAATTGATATTGATGTGACTGGTGATCAATTTGGAAATTAATGATGTTTATGCTAAGAATATATTCTAAAAATGCTTCAGATTGTCAACTTCATGGTTGTTTCATAATGCCACAAAATGTCAGCCTAAACCAAACCTATCAACAGCTTCCTTCCATAAAAAATGTAGGCCTTCAAAACCTCGTATCTACGAAAGCGTATTAGGGCCATTGTTGGTTAAAACATTTTTTTATTTTTTATTATGGAGCTGAAAAATTATGGAAAAAAATGAACTTCAGAGATTTAAGTTGAAAATTTACAAAAAAAATGTGGATATTCTTTGAGATTAAAGTAGTAGATTTACAAGAAAAAACTCATATTTACAAGAACAAAACTCAAATATTCTCTGAGATTATGACTTTTTTTGAAATTAAATTCACAAATTTACAGAAAAAAACAATTTCAGATTTGCTTGCGTTGTTTAAGGCACTGTACTCTTTTGAAAACAAGGTATGCAGATGTTGAGCAAAAGCATGAATAATTGGGGAAGGACTGCAGACATTTCTAAATGACTAAGATGTGACACATACTTCCAAGTTACTTCATCGCAGTCAAAATTTACAACCTTTTATCTCAGAATATAACCCCCTTTCCCCGGCTCTGTAATTTATTGTTATTGATCTACAATGGCCCTAATACACAAGTAGTTTCTACAGCTCTTGAAATGTAATTAATATTCTCATTGTGCTGTTTACCAATGTGTTCATTTTCCCATGCGTACTCAGCATTATGCATTGTATCTGTGTGAGCATGTTACTGCCGCCTAACTTTATGTGTGTGTGTGTGTGTGTGTGTGTGTGTGTGTGTGTGTGTTGTGTTTCAGCTTTCGAAGAGCAACTGCCAGTACCATAAAATATTTAAGGAAATCAGCAAAGAGGAACAGCTCAGACAGAGTAAGTCTTTAATGATTACAACTATCCAGTCCACCTTAAATACTGAATGAGGGATTAGATAATAGTGGAACACTTGATGACCATTTAAAGGATAGGTTCAAGCCTATCGTAAAACAATACTCACATGACTATATGCACATTGAAATAGCTTTTATTTGTTGTAATTGCTCTTGTCCATACTGGCCTATGAATGGCTTCAGCTTAACTTTATTTTGTATTTTTATATTACTGCTGATTTTGTGCCCCATTACTGTCATTGAAATCTCTATAGAAAAGGATCTCCTCAGTGTTTTGCGGATTCCCCTCAGCAACCTGATGCTGTTTATCTGTTTGTCAGGTTACACCTGTGCCCTGCAGAAAGACATCCTCTACCAGGGGCGAATGTTTGTCTCTGACCACTGGATCTGCTTCCACTCCAAGGTGTTTGGCAAAGACACAAAGGTACCGTGAATTCAGAGTTTGCTCTGATTACAAAGATATTTACGATATGTTAAAAATTCTTTTTGTGTGTGTGTGTCATGCACATCAAGCTGCAACATCGCTGTGGAAAAGTAATGTAAGGTTTTCCATCCCAGAGGTCTTTGGCACAGCGTCCTCAGATTTTCTCACTCCTCACTTGCTTCTCTTATTTCCACCTTTGTCTCAAACGGAGATGTTAGGGGATAGGGCTGTGCGTTATCACTACTTTTTGGTGAATACAGTGAAGTGCCAACAGCAGCAGCTTTGATTTGGTGAGAGATGTTGGCTTAAATTATTGACATTTAACTGGCACAGCACACAGATGACAAGAAACATCAAAAACACACTTTGTAGATCGTCTATTTGACACTTAGCAACATAACAAAGCAGAAGTTAGAGAAAGGGAAAAAAGGATTTGTTTTTAATTTCACATCATTTTATTTTACTTTTCTTTTACAAGGATAGTCTTTTGACTTCCAGATAATCTCTTTTTTCAAGAGAATCAAACAGGCCTGAATCATCTGGTATGATTGACCAACGAGGTGTCAGAGCTTCTCTGACAGTGTGACCACTACTCTCCACAGGATGAGTGATACTGTACCAACAGGGAGTAAACTAGTCCCTGCAGGGTTGAACTGTTCATCCTGCTGTTTCTCCGTCCCAGATCGCCATCCCAGTGATGTCCGTCACTCACATCAAGAAGACCAAAACTGCCATCCTGGTACCAAACGCTCTGGTGATCGCCACCGCAAACGACAGGGTGAGAAGGACGACTCTTAGCTTCATCTCCCTGTGATTTTATTGTTCCCACATGTACACTACTACTACTATTGTTCACTGAAATGATTTGCCTTTGTCTTCAGAGCTGCTCTGTCCAACATAATAGCACAGCAAACCTGCCAGAGCAGATGTTATTTTGTGAAAATGTATTAGTGTTTGCCACATCAGAGGACACTCAATCAAGATTCAAGATTCAATACTTTATTGCCATAGCAACATAGAACTGAAAGCTCAGTTAAACAAAGATGACAAAAATAGTAAAACCACTCACTTAGAAAGTGCATAATACATTGAACAAAGTATAAATCAGATATATCCAACCCTACAATACTTATAAAAGCATAAAACTATGGTTAGCATAAAATCCAACATATGTAGACACCATAAATAACAACAGCACATGTAGGGAAGTTAGCAGCAACATCAAATGACCCACTAGATGCAGTGCTTTAAAAAACACCCTATTCCACAAATGATTAACATGCCGAGCGCCCTGCAGTGCTGTGCAGCTTAGGGATACATGCTATTCTGGAACCTGGATGTTCTGGTCTTAATGCTTCTTATTCTTTTGCGAGACGATAGAAAATTAAAAAGGTTGTTAGCCGGGCGAGACAGGTCCTTTAAAACTTTCTGTTGTAATCTGGCTTTCCCGCCAGGGGTGGGAGATAATACTGGATGATGCTTCATCAACCACAAAAACCCTGGAAACGTAACAGTAAAACTGTTGTTATTTGTTGCAGTATGTGTTCGTGTCCCTCCTGTCCAGAGACAACACCTACAAGTTATTGATGTCCGTCTGTCTTCATCTGGAGGTAGGACAGACTTCCCACATGCAGCCATATCATTTTTCTGTCTGGTAGAAAACGTAGACTTTTCTAAACACTTTTTTCATGATTTCTTTGACTTTGAAACCTTTTTGTCTTATCAAACACAAGCAAATGATGGTGAAGTGAAAATCAAGGATGCTTTTCTAAGTTCCTTTTTGTTTCTGAGTGTTTTCTAAAAAATGTTTTTACGTGTTGTCTTTAGAGGTTTGTCTGGGTCAAGAACCACTGACTTTGCCCTTTAAAATCCTTTTAGATATTTTATGTGATGTTGGGCTGTGCAAATAAACTTGAATTTATTATTTTTTAACCCCCGAAAATCCAGAGATTGAATGTACCCTTACAGCTTTTAGGTTGTTAACAAGCTATATTGCATTTTGATATGCTGTCACGTCAACATTTGTACATTAATTATTCATGGGAGAAAGTTACTGTTTGAAAACTGACATTTTTTTAATTCAAAATTCACTCTTTGTGGTTCATACACCTTTTTTGAAATGAAAACTTTAAACTATTTGGAGCAAAGATACATACTATATCTGATTCTGTATGTATATTTGTATTATATGTACAGGAGAAAAGTCCATGCAGCAGCCCCATCCCCTCCTCAGCTGAGAACAGCTTCAGAGGTCAGAGGTCACCTCTGTTGCCTCGCTTTCCTCTGGTAAGTCACATGGACACATACTCACCAAAACCTGGACACCTAAACAGCAGAACAGTGTAGGCTACAGAACTGAGTCTGAATAATAAACACTTTTATTTAAATAATAGCAAAAAGTGAAGTCAAATATAAAAGTGAAAATAATACCTTTGGTGTATATCATTCATCTTTGACCCTGACAACCTTACCTTATCCCTTTTGCTGACAAATACATAAGAGGACGGAAAATGTGGTTCCTGGTGACTCACCAATTAGCTAACATGTTGTCTGTGTGTCTGTGAAGAGTTTTCCTGGTGATTTCAGTGATCTGGACGGAGCAGTGAGACAGAGGAGGCAGGAGATGGAGGAGAGCAGCAGCTCTGACTCCCAGACCCCCGACTACGAGAAGATATCCGGTATTACCAACCAGCCGTAGTAATTACCAGCAGCGTAGCACACATACTGATTAGCTCGTATTTTTGAGGATCCACATTAATGAATCATGAAATGCATCTCTGGCTGTTCACGAAAGTTAACAGCTTTTACTAACTTTGCAAACACGTACCAAGAGGCCAAAAAAAATTGTATCTACTTTGAATTTCAGCAGCAGAAATGATGGCTTGAACTTTTGCTTCTTCAGAAGCTGCTTTAATTTTCCTTCTGTAAAATCTGTGATCTAACCAGTGGTGATGTCCCAGTTCAAAGCGTCACTCTGTGAAGTAAAGTTTATTCCTCTCCCTCTTTCATATTAACGGCACAAGGCATGGACGGTTATTCCTTACACCTTAGTAAAGCTCAGCAGAAAAGATGAACAGTAGAGGGATGTCATGTAACACCTGGTTAGAATCCACTAAACAACTAGTAGAAGAAAGAAAAAGATGGCTATTGTATCTTCTTATGTGGTGGAGTTAATTTACCAGCTGCCCCATGTAGTTCCTGGGGGGTTTTCCAGGGCCTTTCTAGCTAGGGAACCAGACGGCTCTATCAAGCTTATGTTTCATTCGTGTTTCGCTGCTGTGATTGGTTGTAGGTCTGGATGTGCGTCGTGTCTGCAGGTCTGTCCAATGCGACACACCAGGCTCACGGAACTCAGATCAAACTGTCAAACTAAGCAGAGCTGATTAAAGATGAATCACAATTCTGTTACTGCATTACCTGTTTCCCGCCACAAATGTTTTCAGGAGCATATTTAGTGTCCTGTTTAGCTGGCGTGTTTTTTAACTTTAGACACCTGCTTCCAATCTTTATGCTAAGCTACGCTAACCACATACTGTACTGTACTTAAAACACAGACATGAGATTGATATCAGTACCTTTCCATCTCATGGAAAGGTACTGATATAATAAGCATATTACTCAAAATGTTGAGAAAGCGCTACGTCACACGTTTTGTTGCTCTGATTGGTTGTAGGTCTATCCAATTGCGTCCAGAGGCATTTTAGTGTGCTCCTGTTGGAAATCAAAAATGAAGCAAGCGTTTCCAGACTATCACGTATTTGCGAATTAGTCTGTCGATGCCAGGCAGGGCCTTTCCATACTGAGGATAACATATAGATGACAATACCAAAAGCAGGATAAAATATCTGCTCAAAGTCAGGTTAAGACCTGGTTTTCAAGTTAAAAGTCTTCTTGTTCACATTGCTTGTCCTGCTTCCTGTCTCTTCAACGCTGCAGAGTTCCCTGTTCCTCAGTTTCTGGATGTGTTGAAGCACACAGACAGCGCAGCCCCTCCTGAACGTCCAGACCATCAGCACAAAGAGAGGGTCCAACATCAGAACCAGCAGAGCTCTGAGGACAAGCAGCACAGCACTCTTCAAACTGGTAAGAAGTCTATAATCCTTCAGCTGTATTTAACTCAGAAAAATAAACTTGACTTATAAAGTTTTAATCCAACATTACACCAACTGTCTCACACTTCCTGGTTGTACGGTCCACATAACACGCTGCATTTACTGGCTCCAGATGTTTATATATTAATGGTTTAGTATTTCCTCCGTGATGGGGGTGTTGATGCTATCACAACCCAGATTTTTAAACTTACCAATAAAGGACCAGTAAAATTTATTCTAATCTTAGATCAATGGAAAAAAATTATGTCAACTGAGTTTTAACTGAGTTAAACTAACTTTTTTTTGTCTCCAGGCTCGGAGCTCGTGATTGACAGCAGAACTCTAAAACCAGTTTCTCTCAACACTTTGCTGTTTGTCTACCTGTTTCTGTGAGTGTACTGCCATTCACCTCATTCATTCAGTGATTCATCTTCCGAAATTAATGTAGTTAATTCATCTATAATTCTTCCATTGAAAAACAATGAACCATTCGCCTGCTTTCTCTGTCGCTTGGAACAGACACTATGCTGCTGCCTTTCCGGAGGGATTTCTCAATCCATTGGTTTACGTAGGCCCTCTCCCGAGCTTTTGCCTACTGATTCTGAACCAAACACAAAACAACAACACAACAGCTAATGAAATGGAGGATTACTGTAATGTTGCAGTGGGAGTTTACCTGAGTTTCCAGCATTTTTGTGATGCCAGTGCCACTAATTCAGCTATTTATTCATGTAATCATGCATTCATTAACACACTCCTTCATTCATTTACTTGCTTATGTTTGATTGTGTGTGTGTGTGTGTGTGTGTGTTTTCTCAGAGTGTGTGTCCTAGTCTTGTCTTCCTGTTACCTGGCCTTTAAGATCACGTCGTTGGAGCAGAGACTGACGAAGCTCGGCTCTGTCACCGAGTTCAACCACCAGGAGTGAGTTCCCAACCTGTCAGAGACACTAAGCTTGACATTTAATTTTTTATTAAATTACTCAAATTGATTTGGAAGCTGGAAAAATATCATGGTTGATATGTTTTTCTACTTGTTGAAACACCATACCTCCGCCTTTTTCAGACTTTCAGATAGTCAGAAGTACTTGCAAATCCCCAAAATTTAGGTCTCCCAAGGTTGGGGAGAATGGAATTAATTTGTCACTAAGACAAGATAAACTTTATTGATCATGCACATGGAAACTGTGTGTCACAGCAGCAAAAAGAACACATGCATATAGCTAAGTAACCTTAAAAACAAATAGATATTTTAAACATTACAGAGAAGTCAAGGCGCCACTTCCTGTCTAGCCTCTGTTCCACTAGCTTCTGTAAATCAACGCAATCACACACTCATTTATTTCAGTGGTCTTTCTGAAAACATTAAGCAAGTTCATGAGGTTTACTTTCCGTAGTCCAAGAGCAATCGGCTCCACTACAGCAGCTGCTATTAGGAATTTAAACCTTTGTGACAAGCACTTTGTGATCAGACCACAAAGCACAGCGCCAATGAAAATGCATCAGCGTAGGTTCTTACGTCATTGTAACTTATCCATAACATTTGCCAACACTCTCTAAAGCCATTTTTTCAACTTTCTAGCTGTACACTCTGCTGTCTAAAGTCTTCTACAGTGTTCGGTCCTCTCTAGTCTGCTGTTACGGTCACTCACTCCTGATGTTCACTGAAGGCTATTAAAAAAACAAAAAAGTTAATTAACAATAATAGTCGATTGTTTTTGTTTGTTTTTTAGAGAATTACTGTCACAGACTCCAAAGCTTATTAATCAGATCTTGGTGGATGAAAAATAGAAGATATGGTTTACTCTTTATTTTGAGGACAAGAATTCATGTCCACAATTGTGTGATTTTCCCAGAAATGACTTTCTGCGGGTGAGTGACGTGAACACAGAGCTTTTCTCTGAGCTACTGACCATCAACCTGATGAAGCTGGAGAAGGTCAGTCAGTCTGTCTATCTATCTGTGTCCTACAGGTTAAATTTAAGATGGAGGAAAACCCTGTGAATTTGTTTCTTATTAACATCATGTTTCTTGTAAGTTGCCTGGGAGGAGATTTGGGGATTTGGGGGATTTGTGGGAGTATGTCTTGAACAAAAAGTTCAAGACATACTCCCACAAATCTTTCCATACAAAAACGTGGAAGATGGTGAAAAGGCAAAAATATCTTGGAATTTATCAAAGTGATTTAAGTTGACAGTAGATCCGTTTCTCCTCCAGTATTGTGTCTATAACCAAAGAAATGTTGGTTGGTGTTGACCATAGTCCCATTGCTTTTTCATTTGTCTATATAGAAGCATTTCTTTTTTTCTGGAAACATAATCAAAAAGTAGAGGAAAAAAGTAGATTTTTAACTATCCAATTCTTGCATGGAGTTCTGAGCCAATGCAGCCAAATTAACTTTTAGTTAACTCTGCTGCATAATCACTTTTTCATTTTCAACTTCAGTTACTCAATTGCTGCAATTAGACAGGGGTAAACTTGTGTTAAGGATGTCCCTTCCACAACATGCCAACCACATTGTGTCAGAAGCAGAACAGGGAAATTTCAGCACAAGATTCCAGAGAGCAAAGTGTAACCAGACCCTTGTTGCCGTTAATCAAACATTTATAGTCAGTGATCTGTTCACAGAGAGTGTGGATTTCCACTGTAAGAAGAGCTTGTTTTTCATCCATCAGTCTGCACTTGGTGGGTCTGAGCAACATTAACATTTCAGGCTGACACTCGTCTCCTTCCAAACAAACAACAGCAGCTGACAGCCAGGCTCATGATGACAAATGTGACAAAAAGTGCAGTTTCATGTACAAGACTCAAAACAGGATCAGATTGTAATTGTCTAGTCCACTTTTAGATCTAGATAGGAAATGTGTATATATTTGTATGTGCCCCCAAATACATCACAATTACTTTCATGTGAGCAGTGCAAGAATCTACTCCCTTATCTTCAGTTTTGAAAAACAATACATTCCTTAACTGACACGACCTAATAGTACATACACAGAAATGATTGTTTTAAGTGGAGTTGCACAATGGAACTATTTTTTGCATAACAGCAGCCCGGCGCAGTGACTTTGCACGGCTTCCTGAAGTCTGGTCATCACAAGAGGTAGCCAAGTTTGGACAAAAACCTGTACTGAATGACCGTATCTGGCAACCCGTACTATAGCTGCACACGCAAGCACAAAATTGCTGGGCAGATGGACACACTGTTGTTTGTCAGGAAATAGTTCTTGCACCAAAGTCCCCCTAAAACCACATCATGTTGTTTTTTTACATTTCTGTTTGTGTACAGATTAAACAGAAAACTTAGTAGGTAATTTTAAACACTGGACAGAGCTAGTCTAGCTGCTTTCCCCTCATCCAGTCTTTCTGCTAAGCTAGGCTATGTGCCTCCCAACTCCAGAGGTGTGAGACTGGTATTGATCTTCATTTCACTCACAGAAAGGAAGTAAATAAGCTAACCAGCTTACTTATAGAGCTATATGTTAGTATAGCCAATTTGACCATGGCAGGTTACTAATCCAGATAACTTGTGATAGATTAGCTATAATTTAATTTTCAGTAAATAACATTATGCCATTCCCTCTGAGAGTACTCTAGAAAGCTCTGCAAGCAGTGGAACGTGATACAAGATTACAAGAGCTTGTAGAAATGTACATTAGAACTTATAGTAAAGGCTGTGAACTATACTAGACATATTGACCAAAAAAAAACATCCATTATCATTAGATATTAAATTAATGTGCATATGAGCATGATGCCACACAGCATAGAGTTACAGTAACACACAGCGTCTGTTTTTCCAGGTGCAGAAGAACCTGCAGAGACTGCTGGACGAAGCTGCCTGACTGTACTGGTAGCCAGTACATTAAGATGAAAGTGCTGCACACAGTTCTGTAAATGTAATGTAAATATGTAGTTTATTATAGTAGATAGTATAACCTAACAATACTGAGATGTATTGTACGCTGGCACACCTGGAGTACATCTCTACATCCCTGCAGCCAAAGAAATGTTAACCTGTGATAAACCTTCTGGTAGAACTGTACAGTAATATTGCATCTGCTTGATGGAAAATGTAGTAAAACAGTAGCATTTTAAAGGCTCTGACATTTCAAGTGATCAGGATTTGGAAGGCAGTAACAGTGCTTAATATATATATATATAACCTATTTTTTCAGCTACTGTTCTTGTATTTCCTTTTTAAGTAATGAAAGTTGTTTGACGTCAGCTGTTTTTTGGTCCCGCTGAATTCACTCAGGCCATATGTTAACAGTCACATACATCTGAAGGGATCAAGGTTGAGTTCTCAGTGCTGGGTTTATCTTCTGACTTTTGACCAAGTTGGCTGATCACACTGGTGTTCTCGGCCGACTGAGATTGCAAACACAGAAATGTGTTTACATGATGACGTCTAGGACTGAAAACCAGCTCTGGACTTCAGCCCTCACCAGGCCAGCTGGAACTACTTTTGTAGATACTTCACAACCTGCCAGGGTTTTCCTCATGTTTAAATCACGCTGCCTTAGAGCTGTACTTACTGTCATTTCTGTTGGAAAATAGAAATGAAAACAACATAAAACCAACAGCGAAATGCAGGAGGTAGTTAGCTGCTGCCTCTGCTTTTATACCCAGAAGCCCTTTCCCACTTCTCAAAGTTAACAACACATAACCTCATAACCTGTATTTTATCGATTTGTAAGGTAAAAAGTTCCTCCTTGTATTTTATCTAACATTTCAGAAATAGGCCATTAAAAAGGCATTGTGGGACTTTGAAGCTGTAGTTGGCCCTGATATTGACTTTCTTTCACATTTATGTGAAGATGAAATACAAGTTTATTTCTTAAGAGATTGCACGTCTCTGGAACAACTAGGGGTTAAGCGTCTTGCTCAGGGACACAATGGTGGATGTGTCACAGTGGGGGATTGAACCCCGGTCTCTCACACCAAAGGCATGTGTGTTTTATCCACTGCACCCTCACTGCCCCTTCAATGACTCAATGAATTTACTCCGGCATTAGTGCTTCCAGCATATTGTTGCTGTTCCCCACTGACAGTAAATGATATGAGAGCAGTTAGTATGTATATGATTGTTATGTGTTTATAGCATCTTTCAGGTTATTGTGATGGCAGATGTTTTCAAAAATTGGACAATCCTAGCAGCGTATAGTCACCTGCCACAGTGTCATTCTTGATATGACCACTGGATGGCTCTTTAAAGAATTCTAGAAATCTTCCACACCATGTGTAACATGTGTAAACATCAAGAAGCTTCCTACTTACAGCAGACTGTTACAAACACAAGAATGACTACAATTCTGTAAAAATTATACACAGATTTAATGATGTGATTCAACGTTCCTCTGTTGGCGGATAATGTTTTATTTTGAAATAAAATTTCATTTTTGCTGTTACATTTCTGTATTTTTATTTTTATTTTCTTTAAAGGGGCTATATGTAAGTTTTTGACTTTAATAAATCAATTTTTCATTGCCGGGCCTGCAATGGACTGGCGATTGCCCGATGTCAGCTGGGATTGGCTCCAGCCATCCACTAACACTACAGTAAAGTTACTTACTGCGGTCTAACTGTTATAAAGCGTGACAAAATCTCGTTATAACATTCAGTCCAGCTCACTAACTGTTTCATTATCATCCAGTACATGCAGCTGTGCTGAAACTGCTGAGCCTCCGGTGACAGATACACAGATAGTAAAGACAGTTACCGAAAGCAGCAGGCGAGCTAACGCTGTAGCACGTTGGCTAAATGCAGTGTAACTTTATCATGTAACGAGAATGGATTAGTTCAACATCAAGCTGATAAAAATATTACTGTAACATTGCAGCAGGGGTTTACCTGAGTTTCCAGCATGTTGTGTGAAGCTGTCTCCCTGTCTGTCTATAGCGCTCTCAGTCTGCCTTTTCTCCGGGAGGATTGTGTCGATATGCGGCTCGCTGCGCTGAATTAAGTAACGTTACGGAGCCGGTGTTGATCTGCCTCTGAGACGGGAACGTTGAAGTAACAGAGCCTGAACATGTCTGAGTGAATAGCCGCAGCCTGCATGCTGGCGTTCCCGCGTTTATTGCAAGATTTCTGTATGAAAGTGGTAGTGTTTCGGATTATGCTCGCTCATGAGTTCAAGCGAGCACGCGTGTTAAAACCGCACCGCTAGTGGCCGCTGGAAACTACATAATGCCCCTTTAAGCTGTATTTTGTTCCAGGCACATTGTCTGTTGAAGAGCTAAAGTTAAAGTTAGGCAGCCCAGTTTGTGCCACATGTATGGGCAGACATTCAGGTCACAGAGGTAATCATCAGTTTCTCTTAAAGATAATTATCTGGCAATGATTGAAAAAGAAGTTCTTTTAAAAACAATAACTGTTGTTCTGATGGTATTTTCAGAATCCTCAAAGACCTTTCTAACCACTTGGATGAAAAAATATTCAAAAATATTTTGAAACAGTTTTCCAAGTTGTGACTGTATCTCCTTGCCAGCTAGTAGGCAGGCTGCCATCTTTATTTTAAGGTGCTCCATTAGAAACAACCTGGCGCCAAGAAGCTACTGTACCAATGTCTGATATGTAAATATAGTTCATGTTAACATTAAGTGTGATTAGAAACTGAAAAACTCAACTGGGATTATCTTTCTCAAATGTCCAGTAAATCTGACTTGGTGGTTAATAATATAAACGTGCCTTAAGATGCAAACAAACTTGATCGTCTCACATCAGCTGAAGTCCATGAGTTGTCCAATGACGTGAACGTTTGGGGATAGGAAACAAATGCAGACAACTGTTCACGGGTTTATTGCAAAGGTGAACATGTAAAAGCTTACCAGCAGGTGCACAGACAAGTACCAGTTCAGGGTGAAGGGTTCATAGGGGGCAGGCAGGCACTGGTTCAAAGTACAGGAGTAGGTAAACAAGGAACAGGTACAGCTGGCTGGATCTAACATACAAGATTGCAATTTAGACAATCTGACAGTGACTGCTTGGGGTATGCTGGTATAATGCTGCGCTCCAGTCACAATTGGAGGTCGGAATTTCCCTGTAGAAACTTCTGACCTCAAAGCGTTTCAGGCACATGACGCCAAACGTGAACGAAAAACGTGGTGACAAACTGATGTTTCTCTGTCAAGTGCACACACAGTTGAACCCACAGCAGTGTCTTGTCAGTATCTGTTAATTAAAAAGAGCTGTTTTAATGAAAACAAGTGACATAAATATATGTTACTTGTTATCTCTGTTCCCATCTGCCTTCATTGGTTGGTAATCTGCAAGTAAATGTGTATTTCCTAATGGTTTCACATTGTTTGGCCATTATTGTGTGACCTCAGACCGCTGCTTCTTCGTGAAGTCAGGGTAGATGGATTTGCCCCGAGTTCACAAGTCTGACCTTGAGTGGCTTTACATTGTTTTTCTAGTTGGAGGTCAGAAATTTTTGAGCTCTGAGTTATCTGGAATGCAGCATAAGTGCTGCTGGGCAGATGAGGAAAGTGGGAACATGTGTAGGTGGGAGGGGATGTCAGGTGACCGCGACTGGCAAGAACATTTGAGGGCATCCAGTGGATTGCTCATCTGGGGTGTTAGAGGAGAGTACTTGACAAATTTAGATAACAAAAGGACTTCAGGACACTTCCATGCTTCATCACATCACATAAGAGGGCTCTTTAGCAACATTTGATCCTCTTGTTCGTAGCATAGACACATCAAATTGCGTGTTGCAATGTCATGTAAAATAAAATCCCCCCTTAAGAAATGATTTGATCTGTTGCTACTTATCCACCTGAGAGTTTAAATAATTTGTAGACAGCCAATCAATAGTTCACTGATTCAAGTCTCTTCTTGTAATCCTACCCACTACCCATCATGCTCTGGGAGGTTTCTAAGACTACCCTGATAGTCAACAAACATGGCTGCTGCTGCTGCATGGAGCTCTCATGAGTGAGTAATGTGTCTGATTTTATACTGAAGACTGTTAAAGACAAAAGTGAATTCAGATATGATGTGGAATTTTACTTCAGCTTGAAACTGGTCAGTCGTTTGTTGTTTTTACCTGTTATTTGTGATTCTCTTAAAACTCTTTTGAATATTTGGACTCAACCAAACCACTAAACCAAACAGCAGCTAATAGATTCTTCATAATGATTTATCTTGTAAATTGAATGCACCAATTTATAAGTCCACAACTCTTCTAAAATGCATTGCTGCCTTCATCAGGGTGGTGTCTGCAGAATACTTCCAGTGTCTTTACGTACAGTCCATCCATTAGTCATGTGACCTTACAATGTAACTTAAATCAAATTTTGATGGACAGATAATAACATCTGTCATTGCCATTTCTCTGTCCTTTCCTTCATATAGTAGTTTTCAGTCTAAATAAGTATTATATTATTTCTGTTATTTTTCATTGATCCTCATTTAATTTTCCACGTGCTGACAAACAGTAACCTTGAAGTGCTGCACTGAAAAAATGTGCAAGTAAAGATCCATGAAATTAAACTCTGAAAACAAACTGAGATTAAAAGACATGATCTAGATATATTACAAATTTTCACACCAAACGTTGGTCCACAGTGTCGGAAATTTATGTTCTGTTATGAACTATGTTCTCATATTCACTCTGAGGCGATGCTGCTCCCACATCCCAATGTTCTCAGCCCGACATCCCATGATCCCCAAACTGTATGTGATGCCATGGAAACAGGACATGAAGAACCAGAGGCTCCTGATGAAGGTAGATACCAGGGAAGCAAACAAATGCACCTCACTGCAAACTGTTCCGTCAGATTCATTGCGTGTGTGTGGACAACAAGATAACTCAAGCTGTGGGGACATAAATCTGTTTACACAGTCACATTGTGGGGGCTTGCCTTCCATTTTTGGGAGTCCCCATAATGTAAATAATTAATTTATAGGGTGAAGACTTGGTTTAAGATTAGAATAAGGTTTAGGTTTAAATTAGAGTTAGGCAAGTAGTGGTTATGGTTAGGGTTAAGGTAAGTCTCACTAGGACATGAATGTAAGTCAGTGTAATGTCCTCTGAAGTGATGGAAACGTGTGTGTGTGTGTGTGTGTGTGTGTGTGTGTCAGAACGCAGCTCTGGCTGGGATCCCTGTGGCTCCTCTTGAGGAGTCTTTGTGCTTTTGTGGTCGGGAGCGTCTCTGCCACAGTCAGAACTCCACCCACAACTCCACCTCTTCATCCTCCTCCTCGGCTCCTCTCAGCCAAACAGAACAGACAGCTCATCACTCCTCCCACTTGTCCAGGTAAAACGCCTCAGAGACTGTCAAACAAACAAGTCAAGTTTGTTGTCAGACGTAACACTGAATTAAATATTCGTCAATTCTCACTGCAGGTACAACAGCTCTGTGGTGACGACAAGGGGGCTCTACCAATCCTGAAGACGGATCACACAAATATTATAAAACAAATATGCTTTACACTCTGAATAGTTTTAGCCATCACAACAGTTTGCAAAACAGAGTCAGTCTCCTTCTAAATGAAAAGAAGAACCATGGCGCCATACACAATATTAAAATTGAAAAAACCATCACCTTCAAATTACATTTGTCTTCTCGCCACAAACTACAAGATATGAAAATACCATGGCCTGGCAGTATAATGTATTCTTTATGTATATATGTCTGCTTGAAGCGGGAAGCCTCCAGTCTGAGACGTGAATCCAATGCAGAAGTCTCTTAAACCTGCATTCTATTGAACGGCCAGCAGGGGGCGACTCTTCTGGTTGCAAACACAAGTCCGGTTCCATTAGAAATAGCCTAATGGTAAAATAACCCTACTTCTCACATGATTTATTACCTCAGTAAACACCAAACCAAGGCTTCAAAACAGCAGTCCACAAACCAACGGGTGGCGTCACGATGACTTTGTCTACTTCTTTTATACAGTCTATGGTCTGCATACACCTAGTATACAAAAAATATTGGAGACATATTCAATATAAAAGAATAAAAATAACAGACAACTGATGTATAAGGTGCATAAGAAGTACATGAGATAAATGTGTGTAGATGTATGCAGATATAAAGGTGATATGCATTGAACTTAAAAATTGCACAAAACGTACAGACACTTCTCAAATTGAAAAATTTGAGCCAGAAAAACAAATACAGGAAAGACTTAGGAATATAAAAGCTTCATTAGCATCTCTGCAAAAAAAATAAATACATTTTTAAAAATTCTGGTTTCTGATTGGCTAGCAGATGTCTTTTTAAATTATTTTTTAAATTTTATTATTTTAGGGTCAATACATGTCCCTTTTCTCTATATCTGTCTGCATGTATCCTATCACATTAATCATCAATTTGACAATTTGAGTGACACGCCCTTTTTCCTACTTTAGTTAATGGTTATTTTTATTTATCTATTTTGTCTTACAGTAGGGTACCTCTTTAAAACCAACAAGGTCTTTGTCTATTTTATTAGTAGAACTGGTCCTGTAGTTTTTATGTTCACCACAGGATGTCAGTGTTTGTAAATGTAACCCATCACAGGAGCTTGATTGCCAACATGGCGCAGGAGCTGCCTCAGTGATGTTTCTTTAACCTGATGTTGCCAGGTACATCCGGGTACATCTTCTAATTTCCACCAAGTGTTCATACAAATGTTTTATTTTGATGAGTCTGCTCTTTGTCATGTTATAAACAATAAGATTCTGGAGTGAACCGGCATAATTATTATTTCTTTGTTTTTGGTTATAAGTTTATTTTTTTATACTAGCCTATCAATTAATCATTGAAATGTTAAAATTGTGTTTAATATGCATTACAGGTCTGTGCCATTTAATTAAGTGTCCCACAAGTAAGTAACAAGAAAAAGTACAATTTCAAAGCATTTTAAAATTTCATTCCATTTTAGAATTAAATTAGGCCTAATTAATTGAATTTTGAAATAAATTGATTTAATTACATCACTTTGTATTATCTCTTGCTCACTGCCCATCATTTAAATGCAAATTTAATTCATAATTGCATTTAAAAAATAAGTGATTACATAAAACACTGAGATTCAATTACTCAAGTGGCACTCTCAGGACTCCATACTCCCTAAACGTCATTATTACATCATCAAATTAACAATAACATCCCAGTAAACTAACTGTAAACTGGTAACATCGTGATGATGGCATGTTGCCTCTAACTGATAAAATGTAATCTTAACTTTTTTTTTGAATAAAGTTAAACTTAAAACAGGTTCCTGTCATTCTGCCTTGTATGCGATTTATTGTCCAGTGTTTGGCTTCAGCATCAAGCACTTTGACAGAGAAAGCAGCTGTTGTTCTCCTGTGCTAATGTTGCTGCTGCTCGCGCGCACATACACTTCGCCTCTCTGCGTGCATATCCAGGCATCTGTGTGAATGTCTCGGTGTGTCACCAGCAGTGATGACAAATCTCTTTGTTTCATGTTACCACACACACACACACACACACACACACACACACACGGTGTAATGTAATCACCTTAAAGTTCTTTTTGTTATTTATGTGAAGTATCATTAAATTTCTTTATCTTTTGGAAAAAGTTGGTCTCCAAGACAGATCTGCGGCCCGTCCGGATCTGAGCCGGGTTGGATTCAAGTTGCCCCAACGCTAATGAAAAATAAATTGGCTTTATGAGGTAACTTCTCTGTTGCTTCCTCTTATCGTTTCGGGTCTCCTCCACTCCTTTTCTCTCGGCTTTAATGAACCAGGACGCGCGCCAAAGTTTGGTGCGTAATGGTCACCGATCCATCATTTCTTCTTCTTCTTCCTCCTCTCCGCCGTGTTCTCGACATTCTGGGATGTCTCGAGAGTCAAGCGAGAGGAGGAGAGAGAGAAAGAGAGATGACAATAAACCATTTGAGTCGCCATCTGAGGGGATGATACGCTCGCAAACTCGTGGATGGATGGACGGACATATAGAGAGACAGGGAGAGACAGACTGAGAGAGATACAGAGAGAAAAAGAGACAGAGTTGGTGTCCTTTACGCACAGATCTTTGTCGTGAGGACTGCAGACTGTTTCTGCAACTTTTGTATCTAAATCTTAGTTTGAACTCCAGTTTAATGACTTTCTTTGAGTGTCTGCGGTTGCGTGTGTCCGCTCTGGTTGCTTGTTACTAAATGCTGCGGCGCTGTTGCTCCTGCCTGTCATTGGTTCTGGAGAAGGTATTTATTTCAAGATAACCGTTTGTCTCTCGGTGCATTAGTTTTGGACGGGTTTTATCGTCTATCCGGACGGACATGTCGGGGCAGAAACCGTCCTTGAAGAGCGGCGGCTCCTCTCAGAGCCGCTTCCAGGTGGATGTGGTTACAGAAGCATCATCCACACCGCCCACAGCGGCACCGGTTCCTGCCCCGGCCTCCACCGACGGATCGAGGCCACCTGACGAGTCCAAAGGCCGGTTCAGGGTGGTGGGGTTCCTGGATTCGGGCGCGCTGGGCAGCGCGATGGACATCGGGCTCCCGCCTGATGTCTCTCACGAGCCGGACACGGCGAGGAGCGACTCGGTCAGCCTCCATTCAACGGGCACGGGACATACTCACATCTCAGACTCCCACTCCAACACCTACTACATGAGGACCTTCGGGCACAACACCATAGACGCAGTGCCCAACATCGACTTCTACCGGCAGACTGCTGCGCCTTTCGGCGAGAAGCTGACCAGACCGACGCTCTCGGAGCTGCACGATGAACTCGATAAAGTAACAATAAACCCCGTTTTCATTACATTTATCACGTAAAATAACTTCACGCTATATTTCACAACAAAAGCAACATGTTACAATTGAAATATTATGAAAAGGCTAGTAGGCCTATGCCTAATAGCTCGCACAACTAAACACCCTGTAATAAAAACTTAATAACTGAAGTTTAATTGCTGCCTTAAAATTTAGTAAGTAAAGTAAGTAGTAGTAAGTAAAATCAAACTGATTTTATGATTGTTCCAAGTCATTATTGTGAGTCTCTCATTGATTGGTTGCTGTAAGTCAACATAGCTGTAGCTGTATTATTTGTTTTAATGCAAGTTTAAATATTTTATTAACCTGCATTCAGTGTACTTGTCCCGATCAGTGGTTTCAACCTAGGCCTACTTATTTAAGTAAAATGAAGCAGTATTGACATAGGCTTTAAGATGATCTAAAAGTAGGCTATGTATTATTTTTTCTAATAAAATAGTTAGAACATGACACCATTTTAAGGCAAGAAGCTCTTTTATTTCTTGCATGAAAAGTAGCAAAATTATTTCTTTCAAGAGATACTTGCCTAAAATGCATTGTAAAGGAAAACATTACAACATACAAATGTCCAGTCTAAAAGTGCATAAGAGCATTTAACATTCACAAAACATACAGCATATGTTATCTATTATGGGCAGTCTTGTTTCACACCATCAGCAGACACAATACGTTTAATCAGTCAGGCAAAACTGCAGAACTTAGACCTCCACTTCACCAACAGTTGTTGCCAAACGTCAACAAATAATAACACAAAAAGTACTCTACAGAACTTGATACAACATAATCACACGTAGAGCTGATTTGTGTCTGTCTGTCTGTGTGGACGATTTTCAGTTTGAAAACACAGTCACAAACAGTGATGATAATACAGCTGAGTAATATAGTGGATAAGCAGATTCTGAAATCATGTGTGGTAGGGTTGAAGGGGAATGTATGGAGTCAGATCAGTCCCAATATTAATGGATGCACACAGAAGGACTGCTTGCCATGTGTGAACATAAGTGTGTGGGAGCTGTCAATCAAACCTATTCATGCACATAGGACTGAGAAGAGGGTTAATCAGCTTTTGTGATCATGTAGCATTGCATACCCACCAGAGATGCTCACAAGTCTTTGAGCTAGAGTCCAAGTCAAGTCTCAAGTCTTTGAGCTAGAGTCCAAGTCAAGTCTCAAGTCTCTAGTGTTTATTACAAATGTTATATCACCTGCTGTGTTCCAGAGGTTGCTTATAAAACTGCATAGCTTTAAGGAATAGGCTACTGTAACTGTAATGTGTTTTTCATTTACAGATCACAACCATGTAATGTGCAGTGCAATTATTGATGGCTTATTAAATACTGTAAGTCAACATACTCCCCAGACTCTTAAACCCAGTGTAACGTTAACTAAATAAAACTGTAAAGTTACATGGTCAACTATAAAGCTGTAACCTGTTTTTAACTTACAGAGCACAACCATGTAGCGTAATGTACAATGCCTCTACAATTAATGACTTATTATAAGCTTATAAACTAAGTCAACAAACCCTGTTGACTCTCAAACCCAGTGTAAAGTTAACTAAATAAAACTGTAAAGTTACATCATCAACAATAAAGCTGTAACCTGTATTTAACTTACAGAGCACAACCATGAAATGTGCAATGCAGTTAATGACAGCTTATAAACTACTGTAAGTCACCACACCCTGCAGACTCTCAAACCAGTGTAATGTTATAACTAAATAAAACTACAACTTTACATGATCAACAATAAACCTGTAACCTCTTTCCAGCCAACGGTAATAATTAACGTGATGGCAGCCAGCAGGACATAAATAATTACATTAATCGACCACCACAAGTTTGGCAAGTAAACAAACGCTCATTCATCTTTTCCTGACGAACGACAGTCGGAGTAAACCTCCCGTAGGTCGGAGATAAAGCAAGAAGCAAGCTAACGTTAGATGACCAATGCTGAGCTGGTGGTGTTTACTCACCACAGGTCACTAAATTATTTTGCGTTCTGCGCTTCTTTGTTTGGGTCTTGTTGTACGAAGTTTTAAAGCCAAAGTTTATGATGAATGGCGGAGCAGCTGCAGTGTTTGTTGTCATCTCTCACGCGTGGCCGTGCGCAGCAGATGCTACGTGTTCTGTTGGCAGGTTATAGGTAACGGAGGGAGGGAATAATGGCAAGCTCATCAGAAGTTTCCTAAAAAAATAAACATTGTCTATTCTAAATCTATTCTTACTGACTACTGATAATTTCCCCGTTTAAAAAAATGCTTTGAGTCTCAAGAAACCCACAGAAATGCAGTGAAGGTCACACATGACAAACTGTAAATGTAGGTCAACAGTTTTTATATAAATGTAACAACATCTATGTTGTTTTTCATCAAAATTGCAAATACGCATCCATTTACATTAAAAATACATTTGTGAACCTTATTTCTGATATTTTATAATTAGAATCAGCTTATTTATATGATATATAATAACATCATTGGCGACCTGTCCAGGGTGGCCCTGTCAGATTGGCTCCCAATGTCAGATTGGCTCCAGCCCCCCACGACTCTGTAGGATAAGCGGTTGACGATGGATGGATGGATGGATTACCAGTGTGTTTTCTTGTCAGATTTCATTGACCAGACACCAAAACCAATGCTGCAGATAGCAAGCCACCTATGTGATTAGCTTCCCGTCTGAACTGCCCAGCGCCTAAACAAAAGCGGGAAGCATCTTGCCTATGAAGGCTAATTAAGGCTGTCAAATTACGTCTGCATCTGCTAGCTCTAAATTATCTTCCTGATGGCAACAACTCATAATCAGAGAATTTTAAATGTGGAGGATCATCTAAAATATTGTTAGCCTGTCTAACGACAGTACACTTAAACATAGACTGGAGTGTCTGCTGTGGCTCATTCATGCCCATCACTTTCATGGTGCTTTTTGTCATGTTCATTAGTCTTGATTTAGTCTGTACAGTAAGGGAGCCAAACCAGGCAGCCATACCATATTGTACCATGATTTCCATCACAGCCTTGTAAAACGTTAACATAATCTCAGCACGGACACCATACAATCAAAGTCTCTGAAGGAAATTAAGTCAACCTGGATGCGCCAGCTCAATTTGTTGTCCACCATAATACCCAGACATTTATGGGAGGACATACGTTCAATAAAATGTCACTAAATAGCACAAACACACTTGAAGGAATATTATAGTGATTGACATGTAATGTCTTTTAAATTCTGCTGATTTTACTGTTTAGTATTTAGTTTTCCACAAGAGGTAGTCAGTTTTAGGCAGTAGGCAGATTTATTTTGTCACAATACAACAGGTTATAGAGTGAAATCGAGTTTGTAACTCCCTTCTGCTACGTAGCAGACAATACACATTAATATAGAAGCAATTATAAAAATGGTAAACAGAAATAAACTATTTTAGTTAATATGCAGTCATCATTTCCTTCTTGTCCACCTGACAGAAGTCAGTTTATCTCAGTGAACAGATGCCTCAAACAGAAAACATTCCCTTCACTCCCATTTGAGAGACTCTGAGTGGGCTCAGTGACATCACTGGAGGCATGACCCCAACACACACACACACACACACACACACACACACACACACACACACACACACACACACACACACACACACACACAGAGAGACAATGCTGCCTCTCATGACCCTGCAGGCATGCCACTCCTGATAGAACTAGGTAGCTGTAACATAGACGTACATTGTACATTGTATATTGGTAGTGAGCAGTTAAAGTATACTGACAGCAGGATATTGGATGACGTTTGAGCTCTTGTTACAATGACTCCAAAGGTGAAATAACACAAAGTGCAAACTGACATTTTCAGCATATCATACAGTTGAAGAAACTACATTTCCTTCATTTAATGGTGCTAAAATCAACACTTACATATCGACAGATGCTAAATAAATTTGTTTGATCAATTAATGTCGCACAACTAATAGTCCTTATGATATTTATATTGTGCTATACATGTTTCATACATGCCACAATATTTACATGCACAAGGAGTCACTTTAAGCAGCTCTGAGAAAGTTTTAGTTTATTAGTTTTAGTCTTTGTTAAACATCCTAACAATCAAGTTTGATGGTAGAAGTTCAGATTCACATTAAGGAGGGGTGTCTGAGTTGAAGGAAAATGATCAGCGTGATAAAGCTTGTCGTAATATTTGGGGAATGTGTATAAGAACAGCAACGATGTTCAAAAATAACTCCAAGATTCCTTGGGGTGGTGCTGGAGGTCAGGGCTATGCCATACAGAGTAACTATATCTTTAGATAATGAGTCTCTGTGGTGTTTGGGGCCAAGTACAATAACTTCAGTTTAACATCAGAAAATTACAGGTCATCCAGGTTTTTATGTCCTTAAGGCATGATGAATTTTAGCTGACTGGTTTCACCTCACTTGAGCAATGGATATAATTGAGTGTCATCTGCATAACAATTAAAGTGTTCTGATAAAATTGCCTAAAGGAAGCATATATAAGGTGAACAGGATTGGTCCCAGCACAGATCTTTGTGGAACTTCGTGACTAACTTTGCCGTGTATGTAGGGTTCATTGTTAGCATGTACAAACTATGATCGATCTGATAAATCTGACTTAAACCAGCTAAGAGTGGTTCCTTTCATGCCAATTGAATATTCCAGTCTCTGTAATTGGATGTGATGGTCAGTGGTGTTGAATGCAGCACTAAGATCTATCAAGACTAGTACAGAGTCCTTTGTCTGATGCAGTCAGAAGGTCATTAGGAATTTTCAGCAGTGCTATCTCTATGCTATGATGCACTAAATCCTGACTGAAAATCCTCAAATAAACTGTTATCATGGTCATAGTCACACAACTGATTTGCGACTGCTTTTTCAGAGATAAGGAAAGTTAGATATTGGTCTATAGATAGCTAAACGTCTGGATCAAGAGTCTTCTTTTTAGAGGTTTAATTAAAAATGGCTGTAGTACATAGCCTGTTAATAAAGACAAAGACAGATTGATCATATCTAGTAAAATGCTAACTAAGGGTAAAACTTTACTAAGCAGCCTAGTTGGGTCAGGGTCTAGGAGGCAGGTTGATGGTTTAGATGAAGAAATGGTGAAGATTATTAAAGTTTAAAGTCAGCACTTTTCTAAATGTTGGTTAAACGTAAAGTTCATTTTTAAAGTGTCAAAAAAATGGCAAATACTAATTAAGTTATCAAAGCCAGCATTTCAAAAATTGATAAAACATTTTTATTCAAAATCCATTATTTATAATTCAAAAGTAAGCCAAAAACAACCATATTTCTATACTGAACTTGTAATTAAAATTCAACTTTTTATAAAGACAAACTTTATTTGATTAATCAAATAAACAAAATTGATTTTCAAACCTGTGGTGTTCATTTTTATGAATGTTGATCAACAAATTGATTAAGCAACTTTTTGTTTCAGCTCCTGTACATTTTCTCTGTTACTCACCTCTTTGCCCTTCACTTTTTACCATCTTGGCTGTGACTGGTTGTCAGGAGCCATTTGAGGATGGTCTGGCCAATGGAGAAGAGCCATCAGCAGCTGAGGAGGCTGCAGCGGCCTTGGCAGCTAAGGAGGCGAAAGGAGGAACTGTCAAGTTTGGTTGGGTCAAAGGAGTCTTGGTTAGTGTTATGTACATGCAGAAATGGTAAAAGAACATTCCTCTGTTTTTCCCTGTGATGTGATCTGGTCAAATACATGTGATCAGGACCACATCCTGTTTTTCCATTTTAGTTTTATTAAGCACATTGTAGGACTCCTCTCCAATCTGGGGATACAAGCAAGTTTTACCGTGTGCGTGTGTGTTGCAGATCCGCTGCATGCTGAATATCTGGGGTGTGATGCTCTTTATCCGAATGTCTTGGATTGTTGGACAGGCTGGAATCGGTAGGTAAAATCAGTAGGGGTGGTGATGATGCAGTGGATCAGACACATACCTTTGATGTGTGGTACCTGAGTTCAATTCCTGCTGTGACATCCAAGGTATACCTGACCAACACACAAAGATTTGTGACAGTTATTTTGCCTTAGCCAGGAAGCTAGCTTAAAACATGACGATTTATCTGTTTGTACTCTTGAAGATCATGGGTGTAGTAGATGTCCCATGAACTATAGATAAAAGTTGGGTTAGCTTGCTTGCTAGGGGTACAGTTTGCTACTTGAAATATTTAATTAATCTGTTGGTTCGGAGTTGTGATTAATCACAGTTGTCTCATTAAACTCTTCTAACTAACTATCAAACTATCTAACTTCACTGTTTGGTCTGGATTGTTTTCATTTGTTTAATAGGACTGACCATTGCTATCATTCTGATGGCCACTCTGGTCACCACAATCACTGGTCTGTCTACCTCTGCCATAGCAACCAACGGCTTTGTACGAGGAGGTGAGACTGCAACTGTAGAGAAACTTTTATTTTGTAAAAGGTTATCTGATTAGTGAGGATATTTTTAGTTTATCGCTGAGTTTTCCCGAAATACATAGGGTCCATTAAAAAGACAATACTCAGGATGTAAAAACACTTGCATTTAACAACTGCCTTTCAGAGTAAAACATTTAGATTTTAAGCTTCAATTACATGATAACTCACATTTGATGTAATAACAGTAACTCCAGCTGCACCAAGTCAGGAGGTTTTAAGAAAACCTACCAATACAGTACCAATGTTTACAGTGAGTCAATAGCCTTTGAAAGTTATTTTACTAGCACACTTCAAATAAAAGAAAATGAAAGCCCCCAGTGTTCATGCTGAAACAATGATTAATACCATGAATTACTCCTGTCCAGGAGGAGCGTACTACCTGATCTCCAGGAGCCTGGGGCCAGAGTTCGGAGGCTCCATCGGTCTCATCTTTGCTTTTGCCAATGCCGTGGCTGTGGCCATGTATGTCGTAGGCTTCGCAGAGACAGTCGTTGAGATGCTTAATGTGAGGAATACTTTGTATAACCATTCAAACATCTGTCTGTTTCTTTGTCTATCAAGCACTGATTTTGATTTTGCCCTTGTTCCTGGTTTGGTTATTGGTCGTAGGATGTTGATGCTTTGATGACTGATCAGCTAAATGACATTCGCATCGTCGGGTGTCTGACAGTCATTCTGCTGCTGGGAATCTCTGTAGCTGGCATGGAGTGGGAAGCCAAGGTAGGACTATGGATCCAAAATATCACAGAAAACAGTTGACAACGACAAATCCTCTGCTGACATCTCAAAGAAATGATTCTCATAGTAAACGTTTTAGGTGACCTTATAGCCTCTACCAGCTGCCATACTGGTGGGCAGAAAACACCCTTCTCTCTTTCCTGCTAGCAAGTATGTAGATGCATCAAAGTCAAACAGAAATTGTTGTGTAAAGAAAACTAATGATACTGCAGATATTTTGCATATTGTTGTATTTTTCTATAATATTGTATGGAAATAAGCTTCAAGCTTCTCAGTGGCTGTTCCCCAGGGCAGCTAAGTGACATTTGAGAGTTGCAGAGCTGTCGACTTCTGTGGTGTGCAAATGATATGAAAACATAATAATAATAATAATAATAAATTTTATTTATAATGCACTTTACATTTCAGGGAAATCTCAAAGTGCTACAACAACAAGGGGTTAAAAACAGTTCCAGAAATTAACAATCGCAATAAAACACCGTAACAAAAAAAACATCATGACTGTATATCCACAATGCAACTGAAGAGTGAAGATGTAAATGACAAAAGTACAATTTGTGTTTTTAGCCATACCAACAGCATGGCTGTAGGGATTGCAACGCTGTCTCAGATGTCCCTTGGTTAGGGGTAACATTAGTAGTTTTTAGTGAAAATCTTCACAATACTAAATGGATTGTCATGAAATTTGGTTCTGACACTCATGGTCCCCTCAGGATGAATTGTAATAACGTTGATGATCCTCTTATGTTTCATGTTATCCCATCATTACATCAAAATTTCAATGAGTCCAATACATCAGTTTATGACCAAATACCTGCATAACAAATCATATTCGCATCAGCCTCATCTGTGCTTTGTGTTTAAAGCAAATGAGGATATGTTAGCATTCTAAAAAGCTATACTAAAATCGTAAACATGATAAACATTATACCTGCTAAACATCAGCATCTTAGCTTTGTCAGTGTGAGCATGTTGGCATTAGCATTTAGCTCAAAGGACCAATGTGCCTAAGTACAACCTCACAGATGAGATCAGGACACGGATCAATGATTCTCTCCAGGTGAAAAGTAGCTACCCAGATTTAATTTAAGCAGCAAATGTTTTTGCTAGGTGTGTCTTACTTATACCTCTGTCCACATCTCTTTTTTTTGCTCTCTGTCTCTCTATAAATCAGGCTCAAATTGTCCTCCTGGTGATCCTGCTGGGAGCCATCTTTAACTACTTCATAGGAAGCTTCATTTCAGTAGAAAGCAAAGAGCCCAAAGGATTCTTTGGCTACCAAAGTCAGTCTGTACCCTCTTTGTTTTATCTAATGTTTTGGTCTCTTCTATGAGCTAACATTTGCAGTGTCTTCTCACCTCCAACAGCTGCAATCTTCTTAGAGAACCTGGGTCCAGACTTCAGAGACGAGGAAACGTTCTTCTCTGTGTTTGCCATTTTCTTCCCTGCAGCCACTGGGATCCTGGCTGGAGCCAACATCTCTGGAGACCTCACTGTGAGTTTTACATGCCGCATCTTACATTAGGTCTTGTGGTTAGTGGTTAGTACACTTAATCAGATTTCACTACACAGATGTGAGATTCAAAACTTTGGATTGGGGTTACTGACACAGTTCTTGACTCATTTTCATCTTACTTTAGAGGTTGTTTCCCTTGGGAAGTTCTGTTTAGAATCAGTAAATATTTCTTGTGGTTTGCCCCAGGGATCAGTCCTAAGCCCCCATTTTTAGTTTTTAGTTTTTTCTTGACATGCTGCCATTAGGTTCTATTACCTGTAAACATGGCATCTGTTTCAACTGATATGTAGATGACACACAACTCTATATTGCTGCTTCATGTGATGATCTGAGCCCTGTTCTTGTAAATTGCTCTTCAGGAATCAGTGACATACCTCAAAAATACCTCTTTTGATTGCTGTTACCACTTAAAGAACATTGCCAGGGTCACACCATTTTTGTCTCTGGTTAACTGTGAAAAACTCATTTACACTCTTATTTACAATCAAAACACTGCAGCCAGGATCCTCATACTAAAATTTCTCCACAAGCTGCCTGTAAACTATAGTATTGATTTTATGGTAATTTGCATAATTTTCAAATCACTTCATGGACTTGTTTCAGACTACATAAGGCCCAACTAAAGTCTACGGTGATGCTGCATTTGTATGAAAAGTGCTATACAAATCTCGCAATATACTACAGATGTACAGATGAAATCAACTCAAAATAGGTCTGTAATAATACTGTAATTTATTGCTTCAGGATTCAATGCTACATGTAGCGTTTAGATGTAAGTTAAACCGTAATTATTATCCATTTCTCACTTTCTGGCATTCACGCAAAGTCAACAAGAGCACATGTCCCTGGCCAAAGCTAGCACTTCTATAGCTATAATTAACATATGGTAACCACTCCGACTCAGCTCTCATGTGATCAACAGAGAACAGTATCAGTCAACCACGGGCTTTCTCACAATTACTATTACTATAACAGAAGAGGTCAGAGAAAAATGCTTTCAGCTTGATAATAAGCTCAGTAGACAATAAATTTGGATCACATCATGTCTCCATCTTTAGGACCCTCAGTCAGCGATCCCTAAAGGTACCCTGCTGGCCATCCTCATCACAGGAATCACCTACGTGGCTATTGCCATCTCTGCAGGTAATATGATTAAGTTTAATACTTAAGTCAGTTTTCCTAGATTTGTAGGTGTTTGTGGCTCGTCTGATAAATCTCTGATTCATGTAGACTTGTGTTGCCTAAAGCTTTTTACGAGTTGCACAAGTTGTGTCATTGAAAACTGAGGCACAACAGTGATGCTATGCTTGCGATGACATTGATTCTCAAACATGTCTGAGATACTATAATATTTAACAATACGTTTTGAATTCTCTAAAGCAGGGGTGCTTAACCTTTCTGGCAGTCCAACCCCTTTTTGAAGTTGAAAATATTTCGCATTTTTTGCACCCCCGTGCACCCCCGTGGGGGTCCCGACCCCCAGGTTAAGAACCACTGCTCTAAAGGTCAGATTTATATTACATTATATGATGTACAGTTTAAGTCAAATATCTACCAAACATGAAGAGATGTATTATGTTATACCTTTGCAACTTCTTGATCCTACTAAAAGAAACAGATTGAAAAGGAAATTATTATTACTGATAATGGATAAAGAATAGTGTTGTTCTACACATATGCACATAGGGCTGACCCCGAATAGTCGAAGATTTGGTGCTTCGATGGACGGAGCCTGATTCGACTGTCAGTCTCAGAGTCGAAGCTTCGCAGCGAAATAAGGATCATGCCATTTTGGCGATATGGGGGTGCTCAACGTCTGATTTTACACAGAACTACCAGTTTTCTCACAATAAGTTAATATACAGCCGATTACAATATACATTTCAACGTTAACGAAAAAAGCTTTCAATAAATGTTTTTGTGTGTGAATAAATCCAAAATTGCAGCTCTAACCCTGGGTCATCAGTGCGCATAGGTGTAGAGAGTAGGCAGTAGCAGAAGAGGAACACTTGCTGAAGAGACGGAGCCCCAGCTTCACTGGTGTTGTGCGGAGTTGGGACTCACGGGACTTTCGGATCGCCCTGCACAAAAACACACATGATTCGACTATTAGTCGACTATAGGCAGGACTTGAGGACTCTGATTCAACTATGTAAATCCTTAGTCTGGGACAGCCCTAATTGCACACTAAAGTTGCCTGGTAGGCTCAACTGGTTTCAGGACAGAGACAATAGGTGTATCTTTGTAGGTACTTTTTTTATCAAATTAAAAAAGAAGAAAATAAATCACAAACAATAGTGAAAAAAGCGCTAAGATGGGTATGTGCAAAATCAGTGGCGTGTGTGATACATCAATGAGTATGAAAGTTCTGTGGGGATGATAAATAGTGCAGCAACCAAACCAAATTTAACATTACATTTAACAAACCAAAAGAGAGGGCTAAGAGAGTGACTGGTTCACTGCAACAAGCAGACCAGGTGAACTAAATCTCCATGATTTGGCTCCGTTATTACAATATGTCAGTGTGTTTGTTAATTTTCTCCTCCTGCAGGTTCCTGCATTGTCCGGGATGCCACCGGTGACCACAACGACACGGTTAGCGACACAGTGAACTGTACCGATGCCGCCTGCACACTGGGCTATGACTTCTCCATCTGCAAGGAGGGAGGCTGTCAGTACGGCCTGATGAATGACTTCCAGGTAACTGACACTCAGCTCAGGGGTAGATATTATTGGAATTATGTTGATCCTAATTAAGCAGTGTGGCTCCATTATACACAGAGTGAATGTATAAATTGATGGTTTAGGGGATTTTCAGATAAGATACACTGGATCCATTTAGTACTAAAAAAAAACAGTATAAGGTACATGTCTTAACCATACAGTCTATGGTGTTAACCACTAGGCCAAAATGGATATTGATGCTTTCAGTAGATATTAACACAAAAGAACATTTCAAGAAATTATAATTTGTAATGTGGATATGACGGCCAATCAGGTTCATTGTTTACTCAATAACAAAAACAAAACTTAGACAAGCTCAGGAATGTGTGTTACATAAAGGCCAACACACACTGACAGAATGTGACGTGCATTGAACGCCCACAGCAATAGTTTTCTATCGAAGCCTACACGTTGGCGCCGATGCTGCGTCAGGATACAACACTGCCCTATTTCCCATCGTCGACACACATCAACACTCCACAAAGCAGTTTGATCTAGCTATAGCAAGATACATTACACCCCACCCAACTTCATTCCCTCGTGGTGTGATTTCATTATTGCAATTTCTTTGTCTCCTCTTTATTTGTGATTATTTCTCTCATTAGTCATTATATTTACTGTTTCTGTTGTTTATATTAAGAACCTTTTTGTTTTAGCTTTTCTGTCACATTCATTCGTTTGTATGAGTTTTTAAAAGTTAGTTGTGCATGGTATCAAATGTTTTCCTTAATCTATATTCTCAAAGGATATAAAAAAACACCTGCAGATTCTGGGGTGGTTGTTTAACAGGAGCGTGAATCGTGTCAGACTGCTGCTCTGATCCTGTTTCTCTGCATGTGGTCGTAAATGCCTGCACTGTTTGTGTGTGTGTGTGTGTGTGTGTGTGTGTGAGAGAGTGAGACGGAGCTGTTCCCAAACAAAGTGCAGCAGTGATAATAGTGAATTGTTTTGAGTCACAAGGTTCTCACTGGTTGGAGCCACAGCTGAATGAGAGCATTGACAGTATCCACCTACACACACACACACACACACACACACACACAGCTCACTGACACTGATATCGCTCACATGTTGCACAATCTCGTCCATTGCCACTGACAGAAACACTTGCTCTTGTTTTATTATAATCTCTGGTTCACTAAAACAAATAAATCTTACGTCTGTGTGTGTTTCTCCTCTTACATGCTAACAGACGTCACGTTGTGTTGGAAGGTATTGATGCTTGAGAACAGAGCTGTTGTCTGTCCTTCACTGAAGTCAGTAATACAAATATTTTGTTATGAGACCATCCTTTTCATATTCAGCTTGTTTATGAACAAACAAGAACGAATGCTTCTTAACTTGTTGCGTACACTGCTACAAACAAAACACACGACTTTCAAAATCTCAGAACTGCTGTCCCATTCTGAGAAAGCTGCGACGATCGTGATATCGAACAACAACACACAAGTCCTTGTGGGGCAGATTGTGACACATTCTGTCCCAGACACAACACTAAATACAATTCTAAGAAAGACTGGACTCACACACCCAAACAAGATCCTATAACCTCTTACCTGGCAGGATGTCTTCACAACTCTACCTAATAAACTTCAGTCATGTGACTAGTTTACAAACTGAGGGTAGTTTAATTGGTCAGTGTAAACCTAAAGGTGTGTGTGTGTGTGTCTGTCTATCTTTTGTCTAGGTGATGAGTCTGGTGTCCGGCTTTGGTCCTCTGATCACTGCAGGGATTTTTTCAGCCACTCTATCCTCTGCTCTGGCCTCGCTGGTCAGCGCACCCAAAGTCTTCCAGGTAAGACATCAGCTACTTTTATTTCTAGATAACCAACACCAACATCACTACACAAGTAGAGCCTGAGCCTTTGACAAAAACTTTAAATTGACCTTATCAGTCAAAACATTAGCAACAGAAATACTGACTGAATGAGTAATGAATGGTTATTTGTGTGCCAATGACTTTTTAAAATTTGAAATACATTGTGATTTGAGACAAAACTGAACTGAACATCCACTTACTAGGTTTTCTCATAGCTTTCAATTGCATCTCATGTCCCTAATCAATGGATGAAGACTGCTCAGTTGTCATTTAGATGGCTCAAGTGCCCTCACAGATGAAGAGCATAACGTGTGGTTGAAAGCACAAGAAGGAGCTATGTATGTCGATCTGGAGTTAAGATTTAAAAAAAAAAAACTTTTGTCATACATCAACTTCCAAGATCAAGAATTACATTTTACATCTTACATTATGGTAGATCAACATTTTTATTATGTAGAATTAACTTAAGTACCACACAGTCAGTTTTTTCATCCCGAGCCTGATGCAACAGTTAGCAAATGTTTTTCTCTCAAAGTCAATGTTTCAAATCTCTCTCTGAACAACTGAAGTAACAAACTATCAGCTTCACAAATGAAATTAAAGAATGACTAAAAGCTGTTGTGATTCTAGGCTCTGTGCAAGGACAACATCTATCCAGGGCTGATTGTGTTTGCGAAGGGTTATGGGAAGAATAACGAGCCTCTCCGTGGTTACGTCCTGACCTTCTGCATTGGCCTCGCCTTCATCCTCATTGGTAAGCTGCTTTGTGCTGCTGCTTTAATGTAAACTTTTACTGTAGCTAAAGCTGCAACTGAAGAAACAGAACGAACAACTGGTCTTGAATAATGAACCTGTCTGTTGTTGTCTGTTAGCCGAGTTGAACATCATTGCCCCCATCATCTCAAACTTCTTCCTGGCCTCATACGCTCTCATTAACTTCTCCGTCTTCCACGCCTCCCTGGCCAACTCTCCAGGTAAACTCTGGAAACTAAATATTGATAAATGATGACATTTGCTTTAGACTTGCCTTATATTAGGTTGTAGTGATGTTTGAGTTGACTTTGCCTTGCCTTTGATACGGTATCTAATGTTTATATATTATATCACAGATGAACATGACAAACTGTATCATATTAAAAGTAGCTTTCATTTGTGGTACAGGATGTTTCTTTTTAAATTCTGACTTGACTTGGTTACATTAGGTTCTGACTTCAAGATGTCAATTTCTGCTCAATTTGCCTATGCTTTGATACTTGCATGTACATGCATGTACCTAGTAGTAAATTTAATAGTCGGGTAATCCTCAACTTCCAGGCATAATAAGGTATTTCTTATCTTCTCTTGTCCATCAAGGTAACACAAACAACAAAGTATAGAGGTGTCATTGCTGAAAGACAACCTAATGCCTGTTTCCTTCATATGACAACACCTGCATGAGTCCTGAATTTTCGGAGTGACCAGCTACTTGGCCAGCTTTGCCGATATGTGTAAAGACTAGGTTGTTTAATACTGTACAACTTTATTGTTAACAAGTATATTCTCAAAGCTCGAAGCCAAAGAACCTCCAGTCTTTACAGCAAAATGTACACATAAGAAAAAACTTAAAAGTATTCACCTTACTTGCTAGCATACTTGTACGGATAGTTTGAACAGGCCTGCAAAGCTAACTAGCAATTGTGTTTAATTCAACCATTGAATCACTTCTGCCTCCATCAAGGCTTTGGGAAACATTTGCATTAAAGTTGTCATATTATGCCGATTTTCAGGTTCATAATTTTATTTACGGGTTGTACCAGAGTAGCTTCACCATATTTTTGTCATAATGCACATTGCTGAAAAACCTCTTCTTATCCTGTTTAATCTACGGAGTAAAGCATCTCAATTTTACTTGATATTTGTTTCGAGTTGAACATGCGCGTTACCTAGTTAAGGACTGTTAGCTAATCAGAAGGAGAGTAGGGCGGGTCCTGACAAGCAAGATAGAGTGATCCAAAACAAAGCTGTTTCAGCCATTAGCCACGGCTTCAGTTCAGCTGTAGGCCATGCTCTCGAACTAGCTTCGCAACCTAGATGTTTCAGAGTGGTAAGTTATTAATCTGAATTAAACAAATTTATCTTTCATAGTAACATTTTATCTGTGTCTCTAAATCACTGTTACAACTTTACCATTCACTGTCTGGAGGGTATCTGTTTGGTAGGGAGGGTGTTGGTGAGGGGAGGCAGCAAGCGGATGCCTTGTCACTGTGTGTGCTGCAGCTCAGTGTGTTTCTCCACCAGTGTTTTTGAGGGCGTGTTACATAATGACCAAGATGATGGAAGAAAAGGAAGGACTACAATCGAGGACTTTTTCACTTTGCAAACCTATTACATGTACAAAAAAGATATATAACTCAACAAAGGAGAGGGAAAAAGCCAAAAAGCATAACATGACCTGTTGTAAAACTGGTTATTAAAAATAGCAATGCGTTTGTTAAACATTTGTGCTCGTATCGGGGTCTGTTAATATTTGCGTTGTGATGTTTTGCCGTCCTGCTAGCTTGGCCTTTTGTTTCATTCTCGTCTCTCAACAAAGGGTGGCGTCCCAGCTTCAAGTACTACAACAAGTGGGTGTCCCTTGCTGGGGCGATCCTGTGCTGCGTGGTGATGTTTGTCATCAACTGGTGGGCAGCTCTGGTCACTCTGCTCATCGTCCTTGCTCTCTACATCTATGTCAGCTACAAAAAACCTGGTAAGAACAGCACATTGTGTCTTTACCAACTGCTAACAAGAAAACAGATCAGAGACCAACCACTTGTTTCTGCTTGAATTCAGGCAGGCAGTTGATATGAAGTGCCATCAATGTGGAAGCCAAAAACAAAGTGCCCTAAAATGCATTCCTTTAATGGCCATTAGAGGCTGGCTGCCAAGAAAGTCAGTATTAAAGTCAACAGGAAGATCTCTTCTTAGGGGATTAATAACTCAGTCGGAGTAATGCCTGTCTTTTTTATTCCACTTTATAGACATTCAGCATCATCACCCCATGTCACTAATGTTCACTTGTCTACACTGCTCTTACTGATGTGTGTGTGCTGTTTCCTGTAGATGTGAACTGGGGTTCGTCCACTCAGGCCCTGATCTACAACCAGGCTCTGACTCACTGTCTGAACCTCACTGGCATCGAGGACCACGTCAAAAACTTCAGGTGAGTTCGAGGGTTAGAATCTTGTTTCAGACATGACACTGTTGGGGGTTTTATACCAACTCAGAACCTGCTATGCTGTTATGCTATGCAATGCTAAAATCTGTATTCATTGATGCTGTTTAATGATTATTTAGATAAAAGAATCCAGCAGTGTGTAGTGACTAACAGTGGAACAATACTGTAGAATAATTAAATGAGCCTGGGAGAGTTTTAGAATTCTTTTTTTGGGTAAATGCAGCAGCCAAATTTTCCCTTTTAAAAATAAATGTTACCAGAATTTAGTGATTAGGATACTTTGGTCAAACACAAAATTAAGAAAGTGTCTAAGTGATTGAATTCCGTGTTTACAGACCGCAGTGTTTGGTGCTGGCTGGCTATCCAAACTCTCGCCCTGCTCTGCTTCAACTGGTTAATTCTTTCACCAAGAACGTCGGCCTCATGGTCTGCGCTCACGTCAGGACGGTACGTGATGTTTCCAGAAACATCTCACCCTGTCTTAGGACAGTCGAACAACCCATTGTCTTGTCTTATCATTGCCTGGGTCTCTCTCCTGGTCCAGGTGTCCCGTCGGCCAAACGTTAAGGAGTTGTACCAGGATCGCTCTCGCTGCCAGCGTTGGCTTAACAAAAAACGGATCAGGGCCTTCTACATTCCTGTTTTTGCCGAAAACCTGCGGCATGGGGCCCAGTTCCTCCTGCAGGTATGACTGTTTGGCTGGAAATTTAACTACAAACCTGTCTTTTCCTCTGGAATTTGTCTGTCAGGTACATATGGATATCTCATTAATTATTCAAATGACTTCAATGTGGGCGTGAGAGCAGGTTTCCATGCTGTTCTTAACTTAGTCATTGGTGCTTCTTCACTTTCATTTTCCAGTTTTATGTAGCTGCTCTGGAAATTCAAACCAGAGACATCAATGATCCATGAACTAAATGACTCCAAACGTTTGCTTTTGTGACCTGTTTCCGAATATTAACACTTCTTCGCATACACGCACCTCCTTTATATTAAACACTGAAGATTTCATTTTCGGTGTCATCCATCCATCCATCAAACGCTTATCCTGCGTATCCCAGTTGACATTGGGCGAAAGGCAGGGTACACCCTGGACAGGTCGCCAGTCCACCGCAGGGCCACACATAGACAAACAACCAGTCACACTCACACCTAAGGACAATTTAGAGTCATCAATTAACCTAGCCCGCATGTCTTTGGACGGTGGGAAAAAGCAGGAGCACCCAGAGAGAACATGCAAACTCCACACAGAAAGGCCCAAGAGAACCAGGGCTCGAACCCCCAACCTTCTTGCTATGAGGCAACAGTGCTAACCACTGCACCACCACCTATTTTCAGTGTCAGAATTACTTAATTTTCTGTGCATCTCATTATTTAATCATTATGTTCCCTATTATTATTTTGATTGTGTTGTTTTTCTTACTTATGTTTGTTTTGTTTTTGTTTTAATGGGGTAATATGAACCCTGTCTGGCTTTATTTCATACCAAACTTCCATTATTAAAGCAACTTGCTTATTCTCTGTATGCATTGTTAGAAGTTTGTCACATCTCTGTTGTCTGATCTTCAGGCTGTCGGTTTGGGTCGTCTGAAGCCCAACACTTTGGTCATGGGTTTCAAGAACAACTGGAGTGATGCAGACATGAGAGATGTGGAGATTTATATCAACACTATACAGTAAGGACGAGTCTTTTAACAAGAGCTACTAACGTTTTACAAAAGCACTTTTTTGAGTCTGGGATTTGTTCCATGTTTGAGTGTCTTCAGAAGTCTGCCAGAATGTATGTTTAGCCTGTGAAACACAACTTGGGGCAAGACAACCTCAAGTAACTTATACAGGGAGAGCAGCAACGGAAACACCTGCCTAACACCAGTTTATCCAACAGTTTCTGGTGCATATGTATGTAGTATGTTTTTGTTTCGGAAACCCAATTTATTTACATTTTTAATTTGGAAGTATAAGTTTATTTAGAAAACAAAGATCTCCAAAAATGTTTAAGAGAAAAAAGTTTAAGTACAATTTTGCATGATCATTTAACTGAACATTTTAAATTGTCTGTGTTTTGCATGTTACATTTGAAAAGCTTGTTTTGTAATAATTTAAAAATAAGAGCCACATAATGTATTATAGGGATGCACCGAATATTTGGCAACCGAAATTAATCGGCCGAAAAGAATAAAGAAAGCACTTTCGGTGTTCGGCCTAGTAATTCAAAAGGCTGAATAAACTTTTACATTGACATGTTCGCAGTATGAAAGCATTTTAAAGTGTCTGAGAAAGACGCTGTTTGCAGACACTGTTCTGCTGTACTGTCTCCTAGCATATCCACTCCATCTGTGGCTGACAACAATGTGACCCGCTTTGATTGTTTCTGTCACTTGTTTCTGAGAAAACACATATTCAAGCACACGGATTCAAGCCTTAATGGTAAATCCACTGAAACTGAAAAAGATGTTTAGTTAGTTGTTTAGTAGCTTCCCTGTTTTTTACTGAAAATCTCAGAAGATTCAAGCATGAAGAAGTTTCGACTGATTGAACGATTAAGTTTCGACTTTCAGCACACTCAGAATATCAAGAGGGCACAGTAAATTATGCAAAATGAAGGAGAACAAAAAACCTTGAAGTATGTTAATACAAAATTGACTGTAACGTCCCTAAAAGTAGTGTAAAACAAATTCAGATTTTGAATTCTTAAATTATCACAGACTAAATTGGAAGACACTTTCTTAGAAAATACATTTACATTCCATCTATAAACTTTGTTGTGCAGTGACGTTTTGAGTTTAATTATCTGTTCTATCTTCCAGCGACGCCTTTGACCTGCAGTTTGGGGTAGTGATCCTTAGGCTGCAGGATGGACTGGATATCTCTCACATCCAGGGACAAGGTTTACATTTGTCTTTTCCTGTATTTCTGTGTATCCACCTACTGCATGTACTGTATCTATCTCCCTGTTTGTCCCTGTAGATGAGCTACTGTCGCCCCACGAGAAGCCACCAATTGGCAGCAAGGAGGTGGTGGTTTCTGTCAGTCTGGCTAAAGACTCAGACTCGGATTCCTGTCCTTCCAAAACCACCAGCAACCAGAGCAGCCCGCTCATCATGAGAGGTGAAGGAGGAAAAGAGGAAGAAGGAGGTTTAGTCATCACGGCACACTGTGAACACTCGCCTGCTTCTTAAGCCTTCCCGTCCTGTGTTATAAGATAAAAATGTGTTTTACTCATACCAGAGATAAGCCCAGCGCGCCTTTAGCCTAGTTTAACACAAAGCAGAGGCTAACTGCTAGCTGAGCTTGAATCAGTAGACAACATATTAATCAGGCAGCTTTGAAGACAGAGAACAGAGGTTCTAAATGCTACCTTTTGTCATTTCCCATTATGTGATGTCATATGCTACAGAGACCAAATCTCCTCTGAGTCTGACCGACCAGCGTCTGTTGGAGACCAGCCAGCAGTTTAAGAAGAAACAGGGCAAGGGAACCATAGATGTCTGGTGGCTGTTTGATGATGGAGGTCAGTTTTTATGTTTAATAGACTGAAGAGGGCTACACAGCAAAGCTTGGCTCTAGACCATCTTGAAACAAAGTCTCTGATTTTCTTTCTAACTTAATACTGTATATCTGAGTGTCTGTAGATACCAGACAGTGTTCAGCAGTTAAAAAACTAACAACAAGGCAAAGGCACATGAATATGACTGTTTTACAATGGACAAGGCTTGATTTAAAATTAGATTTGATCTCTCTTCAGTCACATGACAGATTCAGCTCCTGTCTCTTCTGTGTCACTGAACCTTCCTCAAAAGCAAAACACCTTTACTGCTGACTGATGATTATTTAGATTTGGATATTCTTGGATATAGAGATTAAATAATAAAATATAATAAAGTGCATCATCATATATGTACACATAAAACTATTTTCACCTACTTGTATGTAGATAATAGTACTATGTTTATGTCTGTTTCTACCTTCCTGTAAATTGTTCTGTGTGTAACTTTGAGAGCTTAAAACCAAATTTTTGAATGTGTTCGAACAGGAAAATAAAGCAGATTTGGATTCTTAGATAAAAATTAAAATTAAACATTACTTTTTTATCAGCAAAGTAATAGCTGTCGTGTGTTATGTGTGTATAAATGTGGATATAGTATGATGTCCTTCATGTAGTTATTTTGTGGTGTATTTACGTGAAGCTCTGTGCAGACTGTGACAGCAAATGTCCTTGGAACAGGACAATAAAGAATCTATCTATCTAAAGTGAGAAAGTGTTTGTGTTTGCAGGTCTGACTCTGCTGATTCCCTTCCTGCTGACCAATGGGAGCAAGTGGGGCGACTGCAGGATCCGTGTCTTCATCGGCGGGAAGATCAACCGCATCGACCACGACCGTCGAGTGTGAGTTGTATGAGCTTTGATCTTATTTACTCTACAAACAGTTTTCATCCTAACTAACCTGCATGTTTTTAGTCTCTACAATCCTGTATGTTTATCACTATGTGTGTGTGTGTGTGTGTGTGTGTGTGTCCCGTCAGGATGGCCACACTGCTCAGCAGGTTCAGGATCGACTTCTCTGACATCCACGTCCTCGGAGACATCAACACCAAACCCAAGAAACACAAGTATGACTCTGGTGGAGTCTCCCTCAGCTCAATCCCATAGTTCACTTAAATTTATCGTGATTGATTTTCATTCAAACACAAACTTGACCATAAAACATAGTAAATTTATAAGACACTCAACATTCACCTGTGAATGTATTATTTAGCACACATACACTAAAAGGCTGCGATGGACTGGCGACCTGTCCAGGGTGTACCCCGCCTTTCGCCCAATGTCAGCTGGGACTCACCAAACAGGAGCCGCCTCAGTTGTGTAAAAAATGCATCTCAGATCCTTTGAACCGAACCACAAGGTGTTGTCAACATTGAACAATGTCAAATTCTACACATAGCAACTTTAAAAATGAAAATGAAATGAAGTGGTTTGAAAATGTTTAAAATGCAACTATAACCTTGAAATGACTGCTGATTAGGAGCGCGCTACAGCACAGTTACAGCGGAGGGGTTAAAGCAGATAATGTAAGTGACATCTGGTTTTGCAGTAAGCTGAGTTTCAAGGAGCTGATCGAGCCGTACAGGCTGAAGGAAGATGACATGGAGCAGGAAGCCGCAGAGAGGCTGAAGGCCCAGGAACCCTGGAGGATCACTGACAACGAACTGGAGCTGTACAGGGCCAAGGTCCATACTGTACTACAAACATATCAGCTCTGACCATTCACACTGCCATGTTGAAACTGTTAAACGCAGGAAGGTTAATGTCACCGTGCTGTGTGTTTCAGACCAACCGTCAGATCAGACTGAATGAGCTGCTGAAGGAACACTCCAGCTCAGCAAAACTCATCGTCATGTAAGAACTTCAGACTTGTGTTCCCTGATTAAACCATCAATAGTTTTTCCTCTTTATGCCATTACTAACTAACTAGTTTATCATTGTGGGTTTTATTTTACTCACTAATTGCTGATTAAAATGTAATTGTACTGTGATTGGCCAGCTTGCTAGCATCGCGTTTCCTCCTATGCATTTCCGTTTCTTTTCTCTCGTTTAACTTGTCGTTTCAGCTGTACTTGTTGGGTAGTTTCGTTTAAAACAAAACTATATTGTATAAAGTTTTTTGTGTGCAAAACTCTTAATTTGAAAAGTCACTAAAGCTGTCAGATAAGTGAAGTAAATTACAATATTTCCCTTTCAGATGTAGTAAAGTAAAAGTTGAAGTAATACTGGAGTAAATGTATATTCCATCACTGCACAGTGACACAGTGAACTGGTTTGAATCAGTACTCCTAGCATAATATTTAGGTTTCAAAAAACAAAGATAACCTAATGATAAATATAATGTTTGTAAAGAGTGTATTTTCTGCACTGTTATTCTCTCCTCAGTATGCACATACATCTCTCTCTCTGTCTGTCTACAGGAGCATGCCTTTGGCCAGGAAGGGTACGGTGTCGAGCGCCCTCTACATGTGCTGGCTGGAAACTCTGTCCAAAGACCTCCCACCTCTGCTGCTGGTCCGGGGGAACCAACAGAGTGTCCTCACCTTCTACTCCTAACACACAAGTGTACAGCGTCCACACACTCATACTCTGTCTACTGGTCTCTGTGTATATTTATTAAGGTATTACACCGCCTGCGGCTGCCCAACAACAGAAAATATTATCGTGTTTTGTGACACAGATCTGGAACGAAAAGAAAAAGTGTTAAAGTCTAATTCTGTGTTTTCCATTTGGCTTAATTTCAGTAAATTTCTTTTGATTCCTTAACAGATTAATCAACCCAATCAACATTACGATGGCTGTTTCATTAATCTGCGACAATAACAGGCTGTATATTCCCTGGCTGCTGTGTGTTTTACGTGAATGAGAGTAACTACAGTAAATATTAATGTTTTAATGTTTATTTATAATGATGAAATCAGGATTTCAGAATGTTTGTTGGTCTTTAGGTGACCTGTGATTATTAAGTGGTGTTTTCTTTCACTGGGTTTCAAGTAGCAAGTCACTGGCGACATTATGTTGTACATTATTTTATTAAAATATTAACTAAACCACGTTTCTGTCTAGTCTGTTTCTTATCAGATTTTTGTAATTATTTGTGGATCATTTAATCTCTCTTGACTTTTTTTCCTGAAGAAACAGGTATGAAAGTAGAGAAGTGTTACCTGATCAACAAAACATGAAATAAAGCCTTAATCACCTTAATTTATGTATGACAGAACGCTGAATATAAGTGAATGTGGAAGAGATACTGTATCTTACATGGTAAGATGAAGGGCTAGCTCACATTAGCTAGCTACTGGGAATGTATGCTAATGTTGATGAATATTCACTGTTTTTATCAATATTTCAAAGTTTTGGAAGCTTGATGTCATTTGAAACGTGGTTGCTTGGACAGAAATAGTGTTTAGTAGTGAAGAAATAGTGAAGAAAACTCCCAATAAAAGTGAACATATAAACAGTAAATATGGCCAAAACATGGACATTCGCCTGGTATATTTTTGAAAAATTGTGCCATAACTGTTGTATATCAGTTTCTTTTCCTCAGATTTACAGTTACAGTTGTATTGTATTAGAAGATATTCAGTTGCATTATAATGAGTTTGATGATGGTTTTGATGGTCATATTGCTGTTAGAATACACATTTTATACCAGGCGAGGATGAAAATGTCATATTGTCCTTTATTGCATCTAAATTTACTATTTAATAGCAAAATAAATAGGTTAATTTACAGTTGATTTGTAGGCTATTCCTTAGCTTCTGACCTATCAAAGGTGACCAATTATTTATCGAGGCCAAATGGTTGATGAGTTATTCCTGATTCATTTTAGTATTATTTAAGGCGTTTTCCCTGGAAATAGGGGAAAATAGCTCAGTTAACACACTTTAGTTTAGGTGGCCCAGATTACCCGTGATATGCATTATTCTAAAACAGGTTATTATGCATAACGAATACTTTTACTTGTAACACCATGTTACATAGCCTACTTTAACTTCACTATACTTTTGTACATTTACTAAAATAAAAAATGTGAATGCGAGACTTTTACTTGTATTTCCAAGTAAAAGGTGTGAGTAGGCCTACTACTTTCACCACTGGCGTAATGCGATACTGAAAATCATTGCTCACTTTGATAAAGAATATCATCTTACTGCCAGAGCCGTTCTACGTTTTTGATTAGTGTTTGTAGCGTGTATATATAGAGAGAACACAGAATAAACGAGACTGTGGCAGCTGCGTTCAACAACAGCCATGACAGCAGAAAAGCGCTGCAAAGCCTGTCTAAACTGCAACTTATGCTGCATTCAAAGGCTCCTAGAAAAATCCCCCTTCCAAATCGTTTAACATCTGTATTAACAACAAGAAATGGATGACAGACATGCAGCTTGACAGTCAAGGCAATGATTATACGGTAATAATAAGAACATAAAAAAGAATAATAAAGTAAAATGGAATAACACAACAAGTAAATGAGTATGTGAGGAATCAGTCCATTCAAACAAAAAATCTCAGAAATTTGGGTTTGAGACTTTTCACTTTGTATAGAATTTGACTAACAATATAATTGCATGCATCTTGTCTTTCTTTTGGAGTGGGGGTATTACAATCTTAATCAAAGTTAGTAAAAATGTCTGTCACTTAAATAATCTCATAACTGCAGCATTAATTAATTTACTCAGTCAATATGTGAATTATTGACTCTTCTTCTTTTGCTTTGTATCTGATATTTACACTTCACGCTGTTGGTGTGAAATATACTGGATCAATATTATGTCATTGTTGGTTTTTGTTTGTTTCTTTTAAATGTAGCCTAATGGGAGGGAGTTTAACTTGTTCTCAAATAAAACATGCACGACTAAAAGTAAAGAGTGAATCAAGAAACGTACAACATGTGTTGGGTTCTCTGTGGCTGTTGCTCTTGAACGCAGCTCGCCCCCTTTTTACGCAACACAACAGGCAAACTGCTTCCCGGACAGAGGCCAATCTGCACGGAGCTGAAGGTAAGGCGAGACTTTTATGATATTTCACCTGTAACTACAACGTAAATGTTCTGATGTGGTCGCAGAATAAACGGTTCAGCTGACAGTGACAGGACCAGAGAGCTGCTTCACAAGCCTGAAAGCTATTTAATAGTTAGTCCTCTTCAGTTTACTGTTGTTAGCAGTTAGTACACCCTGCATCTGATGTCAGTTTAATATCCAAGTGCGACAGGTGAACGCATCGTATCATTACAGACCTCATAGGATTGTATCAGCCAAGCTGATTTACCTGCTATACTGACAGTAAACACATCACCGGGGATAAAATCAGTATGGCATGCAATGGGACCCAACACGACTCGTGCTGCGTTTGATGACGCATTTATGACGTGATTTGACTGGCGTAACCAAAGATTGATTAACAGCTTTTTACACCAATAGGAGGGAGGACCCCCCGGGAGAAATATACAAAGACACAGTCCAGTGTTTTTTAATTTAAACCACACAGTAATGAGTGAGTTGGACATGTGTGGATAATGTTTCTTCACCAAGAAAAAAAAAATGGCAGCATGGTGATTCATTCACCCTGCTGTAGCCAGGTATTCAGATCCTTTACCTATTTCAAGTTACTAATACAACACTGAAAATACTCCCTTACAAGTAAAAGTCCTGCATTCATAACCTTACTTAAGTAAATGTATGTAAGTATTATTGGTAATTAAAGTATCAAAAGTAAAAGTAGGCCTACTCATGGAATATTTCACTTTCATCTAATGTTTCTGGATTACTATAATGCTCCATTAATGTACACTTCTCAAAAAAAAAAGAAAAAGGGAACACTAAAATAACACATCCTAGATCTGACTGAATGAAATAATCTCATTAAATACTCCTTTCTTTACATAGTTTAATGTGCTGACAACAAAATCACACAAATTATCAATGGAAATCAAATTTATCAACCCATGGAGGTCTGGATTTGGAGTCACACTCAAAATCAAAGTGGAAAACCACACTACAGGCCGATCCAACTTTGATGTAATGTCCTTAAAACAAGTCAAAATGAGACTCAGTAGTGTGTGTGGCCTCCATGTGCCTGTATGACCTCCCTACAATGCCTGGGCATGCACCTGATGAGGTGGCGGATGGTCTCCTGAGGGATCTCCTCCCAGACCTGGACTAAAGCATCCGCCAACACATGAGGTCTAGCATTGTCTTGCATTAGGAGGAACCGAGGGCCAACCGCACCAGCATATGGTCTCACAAGGGGTCTGAGGATCTCATCTCGGTACCTAATGGCAGTCAGGCTACCTCTGGCGAGCACATGGAGGGCTGTGCGGCCCCCCAAAGAAATGCCACCCCACACCATTACTGACCCACCGCCAAACCGGTCATGCTGGAGGATGTTGCAGGCAGCAGAACGTTCTCCACGGCGTCTCCAGACTCTGTCACGTCTGTCACATGTGCTCAGTGTGAACCTGTGAAGAGCACAGGGCGCCAGTGGCGAATTTGCCAATCTTGGTGTTCTCTGGCAAATGCCAAACATCCTGCACGGTGTTGGGCTGTAAGCACAACCCCCACCTGTGAACGTCGGGCCCTCGTACCACCCTCATGGAGTCTGTTTCTGACCGTTTGAGCAGACACATGCACATTTGTGGCCTGCTGGAGGTCATTTTGCAGGGCTCTGGCAGTGCTCCTCTTGCTCCTCCTGCTCCTCCTTGCACAAAGGTGGAGGTAGCGGTCCTGCTGCTGGGTTGTTGCCCTCCTACGGCCTCCTCCACGTCTCCTGATGTACTGGCCTGTCTCCTGGTAGCGCCTCCGTGCTCTGGACACTACGCTGACAGACACAGCAAACCTTCTTGCCACAGCTCGCATTGATGTGCCATCCTGGATGAGCTGCACTACCTGAGCCACTTGTGTGGGTTGTAGACTCCGTCTCATGCTACCACTAGAATGAAAGCACCGCCAGCATTCAAAAGTGACCAAAACATCAGCCAGGAAGCATAGGAGCTGAGAAGTGGTCTGTGGTCACCACCTGCAGAACCACTCCTTTATTGGGGGTGTCTTGCTAATCGCCTATAATTTCCACCTGTTGTCTTTTCCATTTGCACACAGCATGTGAAATTGATTGTCAGTCAGTGTTGCTTCCTAAGTGGACAGTTTGGTTTCACAGGAGTGTGATTGACTTGGAGTTACATTGTGCTGTTTAAGTGTTCCCATTATTTTTTTGAGCAGTGTATATGTTGCATTTTCAATGTTAAAGGTTGATCTAATTTTAACTACACAGCTTATTCTACAGCAATGCATCATAATCTATAAGATCAGTTGCATATAATGGAAAAACTCAAGTAAAGTAGAAGTAGCCTACCTTGAATTTGTACTTCTGTACAGTAGTTGAGTGAATCTACTCCAGTTATATTCCACAAGTTTAAAAAATACTGGAACCAGCCAATAAATGTTGTGTTTTTTTTAATACTAGATTATGAACTCCACCAATGTTGGTAAAAACGTCAACATGCAGAGGATATGGCCTCAGTGTCCTCCATGGTAACTAAGGTCCTGCTTATTTGATGAGATGGAACACATACATTTTAAAATCCTACACACTATAGGTTTAAACATTAGAATAACTGAATATAATGCGCACAAACTTTTTATTTCAACTATCTCATCTCAAAATGCTTCTTCCTAAACATATCATTTTCGTTATCAAGGCAGCCAGAATGACGAGCCTCCAGCTGAGTGCGAAGGAGGAGATGGTGGAGAAGTTTCTGGATGCTGCAGCCAGAGGAGACCTGGCCCAGGTGTCCACGCTGTTGTCCCATGTCCCCTCGCTCATCAACCAGACAGGAAATAGCGGCTGGACGGCGCTGATGCTCGCTGCTCGCAACGGACACTACTATGTGGTGGAGGCCCTGCTGTCCCATGGGTACAGAGAGATGAAATGAAGACAATACAAAAGAGAAAAAATGAAAGCAATACTACAATTATAATGATATTTTGAGTACAACCTTTATAGGTGTGAAAGGTGCCTGTGAAAAGTTTGAAAACTTTAAAATCAACCTTGTTTTAAGTGTTTGATAAATCCATATAGGGTTTGTTCTTTGATTATTTTGTTTCAAAACCAAAACGGAAAAACAGATAAACGGAAAACAAAAAAACAAATCTGTTTTTGTTTTTCTGTTTTAAAACCAAAATGGAACAACAAAGCAGCTGCGTTTTGTTCTTTCTATGACCGTTGTTGTATCCCTACCAGCACAATAACTCCACAAACAAGCTGACAAATAAACATTATGTATATTTAAAAAAACAATGAGGGTTAGTGCATTAATAAAAGAATTTCAAGCCACATTTCTAAATGTTTGGTTTGACCAATATAATTATAATTTTGTTTCATTTGCTAGATTAATATAAATGTCAATAAATAGCAGTCAATAGAATCGTGTTCCCCCCACTTCCTACCCTTGGATAGATGGACTAGGTTGCTTCTCCTGAACTCTTTTCTCTGTTTTCCATCTTCAAGCTGTGACAAGTTCTCAGTGAACAGTTCGTCCCAGACCGCTTACGATATCGCCAAGTTCTGGGGCCACCGGCACATCTCCGACCTGCTGGGACGGACAGACGACAGTTGCCAGCGAGTCCTGCCGGGCTCTGATCTCAACCAGCAGGAGAACTACTTCAGCAGAGAGACGCTAGACCGGCTGAGTGGGAAGAGGACGGACAAGGTTTGGTTGGAGGAAAAACAGAGCGACCCAAATACAGTCTACCTCCTGTTCTCCAACCTCAACCCCATGGTCAACAGCTCTCAGGAGGATGACGATGCAAAGGTACGTGGGTGAGGGCAAATGTTCCTGATATTTTTCTTTGAACCAGTATGTTTGGAAATTAGATTTCAGACCATTCTGCTGTACACATCTTAAAACAATCACAATGTGTTTATTAAGTTTAAGTCTCGTGTTATTAGCAACACAGAAGCTTCAAGCAGAATATTATCAACATTAAAGCTGATTCTCTGCACCTGAAATGGTAATTTGTGTAAATGAAAAGGGACCAAGTAAATTCGCCCAATATTTGGAGATGGTCAGACAACCTTTTCAAGAGCAACGGGATACAGAAGGCATCATTCAAGTTAAAAGGGATAAATAGGATGCCTAAGGACTTAGACCTGAGGCAACGTTGGAGAACTAGCATGAGACAGCTATCCAACCAAATAAAATCCCAGCCCCTCCCATCAGGCCTCCCTCTAAAGCCACTCCACCAACACATGTTCATGCACAGTGAGTGCACAGGCAGCGTGCACGCAGGCAGGGAGGCCACAGATGCTGGAATTTGTATCAGAGCATTTGATTTGTTGATTGCTGTCGGGATGTAAAGAGAATTTCAACAATTATAGCTAAAACATACAAGCTTTAAGCTCTGAAGATGTGGTATGTGTGATTATAACATAATAACAAGAATGAAGCTTCAAAAATAAATATTTTAACACTTTTTCAATGGGAACACCTTGTAGAGTCATTGTAACTGTTTGTTTTTGCCCTATATGAATATGCAAATTCAGGTGGATTTAATATGAGCTTAAAAAGTGGCAAGTATCATATCATCTGCGTAAAAAAGTAGGCTTGTAATCATAACATATAAAAAAAGAGCCAAATCCAATTTTCTACTAATAAAAAAGATAATAAAAGATAATGGTAGCATAAGTTGTATCAAATGCCTTGGAGAGGTCTGCACTAGTCCTTATTTATAGAGGTCATATTATGCTTTTTGGCTTTTTACCTTTCCTTTACTGTGTTATATATCTTATTTTGGTTTGCAAAGTGAAAAAGTCCAAAGTCCACCCCAAAGGGAGTTACCATCTCCCACAGAAAACACTACTCTGAACTGCCTAAAAACCGCTCATTTGTAGTCCAGCCTTTAGTTCCGTAACCTATCTGCATCACTATGTAACACGCGTAAACTCTGTGTGTTGGGTTTTCAGTCAGGAACCAGAGGCAGCTGTGATGCTCAGAGAGCTCATTTGACACGCAAAGAAGATTCATGTAATTGTTGCCACCTGTCGAAATCCTGGAAAATTGAAAGTCACCACCTGATTGAAAAGGAAACTAAATACAGAAATATGCAGATATGCTTTTCATGTGCGGCCAACAGCTAGTAAAAGTGACATTGTTGGTCAGTCTGACTTTTTCACATCAAAGATTCAAGATGTTATTGAATTTTTTGTGAATGAATGAATTTGTGATTCCAACTCTTACAGGTTGAGACTAAGCTGTGTCGGTTCAGATATGAGGCAGTTAAAGACCTTCTCCAGAAACCTGCGACTGTGCTCATTTTCCTTGGAGTGGAGAAGAGGAAAAAACCCTCCTCTTCCAACTCCTCTCAGACAGTGGAGGGTGTCCTGGAGCCTCCTGCCTGGTTTGCCATAGGCACAGATGAAGACGCTGCTGAACTTTTTAAACGCTGCAGAGAAAAGAACTGCTCCTTCCCAAAGATGCCCAACAGAGACCTGCTGAAATTCAGTGAGGAAGAGGCCGGTGAGGAAGAAGCAGTATCTTTTTACAGGCATCTGGTCTCAATTAAAATGATTTTATATGACTCGCGCTTTTGATTAAATAAGCTGAAGTCAACAAACTAGCTAATCTTTGTTCCCTCTCGTCATCCTCCAGGAATTGTGGCTCAGGCTCGATCGGTGTTGTCCTGGCACGCCCGTCACAGCTTCTGTCCAACATGTGGTAGCAGCACCAAACTGGAGGAGGGAGGATACAAGAGGAGCTGCCTGAACTCCGACTGCCGGAGCCTGAAGGGGGTTCACAACACCTGTTATCCACGAGTTGGTACGAAGCTCCACCAACACCTCACCTATCTGCTCTTGATAAAGCTAATTATACTGAGTCTATAAGCCTGCAGTTTATCAGTATTCAAAAGACAACATCCCCTGTGAATGTACACATTTAAAGTCAGTGGACATATGCATTTATGATAATGTGCATAAGCCTGCATGTGGAATTTGCAGCTGAAAAAAATGATCACATATTTATGTAGAAAATAATTTCACAGAAGCGCAGGCTTTGAATTAATGTGAGTTTCCATGTTAGATGGGTTTTTTGTGACAGTCTTTTACAAAGATGGGAGCTGATGTCATGGGAGTCCAGTTTATACCAAAATGGAGTGGAAACAATTAGTCCATTAACCGAGTAGTTGTTTTTATAAGCTGAAATTACAGAAGCTTGAGCTCAAATAAGAACATTTGCTAGTCTTCTATTTCTATGATAATAAAGTGAGAACCTTTTGAGTTTTGGTCAGACAAAACAAGTGGTTTAAATATTTTTACTCTCTTGTAAAGGGGTGACATTTTACAGACAAGTCTATTAATTATTAACTGAGAAAATAACGGGGTGTATGTATATGTGTATATATATATATATATAATTTTAAAAAAAAATTTTTTTTATTCTTTTTGTTTGATATACTGTAAGTGCAGTTCTTCTCTTGTTTGTCTGTATGTGTGTTTTCAGACCCAGTGGTCATCATGCTGGTGATCCACCCTGATGGAAACCAGTGTTTATTGGGAAGGAAGAAGATCTTCCCAGTCGGCATGTTCTCTTGTCTGGCTGGATTCATAGAGCCTGGTAATTAACACACACATAAACAAACACATTGCATTGACTCATATGAATTACCTGAGACTGACTTTAACCATGACTTCTACATGCCTCAACCCAAACTTGTGCCCAACCTTAACCACAAACCAAGTGTTAACCATCATGCAGCTATCTTCGACTCTAGCCTACTAATCAGCTCTAAACCTAAACTAAACTATAACTCATTTGAAAGTCTTGTTCTTAGTCTTTCGCACCCAAGTTGGAAATCACTGCAACCAATTCTTTTTGTTATAGTGTACCGAGCACCTGGCCCGTTTTTGTCAACTTTAGTCCTTAAAACGGACAAAGTTATTATTGTAGGAGATTTTAATATTCATGTGGATGTTGAGAATGACAGCTTTAGTACTGCGTTTATCTCTCTGTTAGATTCCATCGGCTTCTCTCAGAGTGTTCATGAACCGACTCACTGTTTTAACCACACCCTCGACCTTGTTTTGGTGTATGGTATTGAAATTGAACATTTAGTGGTGTTCCCACAGAATCCCTCTTTATCCGACCACTGTTTGATAACTTTGGAGTTTGTATTGCTGAACTACTCGCCATTGGGCAAAAATTTCTATACAAGATGTCTGTCTGATAGTGCCATAGCTAAATTTAAGGATGCGATTCCATCAGCTCTAAATACATTATCTAGTCACAAAGTAACGGAGGACTCCTATGCTAATTTCAGTCCCTCCCAAATCGATCATCTTGTTGATAGTGCTGCAGGCTCGCTGCGAATGACACTCGACTCTGTAGCCCCTCTAAAAAAGAAAATACTAAAACAAAGACGGTTAGCTCCATGGTATAATACTGAAACTCGCAAATTAAAGCAAATATCACGGAAACTTGAGAGGAATTGGCGTTCTACCAAAGTGGAAAATTCTCGTTTAATTTGGCAAGATAGTCTTAAAACTTATAGGAAGGCCCTCCGTAATGCCAGAGCAGCGTACTACTCGTCATTAATAGAGGAAAATAGGAACAACCCAAAGTTTCTTTTCAGCACTGTAGCCAGGCTGACAGAGAGTCACAGCTCTATTGAGCCAAGTATTCCCATAGCTCTCAGTAGTTACGATTTCATGAGCTTCTTTAATAATAAAATTCTAGCTATTAGAGACAAAATTCACCAAGACCTGCCCTCAATTGGCACCGACTTATCTCTTAACTCAGGAACCTTAGAAACAGCTGTAGAACCAGATACATGTTTAGACTGTTTTGCTTCCCTCAATCTTTACCAACTAACTTCAATAATTTCTTCATCTAAACCATCAACCTGCCTCTTAGACCCCATCCCGACTAGGCTGCTTAAAGATGTTCTACCCTTAGTCAGCACCTCTATACTAGATATGATCAATCTATCTTTATCAACAGGCTATGTACCACAATACTTTAAAGTAGCTGTAATTAAACCTCTTCTGAAAAAGCCCAAACTTGATCCGGATGTTTTAGCCAACTATAGACCTATATCTAACCTTCCATTTCTCTCTAAGGTTCTGGAGAAAGCAGTTGCTAAACAGCTGTGTGACTTTCTACAGAGCAATAGTTTATTTGAGGATTTTCAGTCAGGATTTAGAGCTCATCATAGCACAGAGACAGCACTGGTGAAAATTACTAATGACCTCCTTATTGCATCAGACAAAGGACTTGTCTCTGTACTGGTTTTATTAGATCTTAGTGCTGCATTTGATACCATTGACCATCAGATCCTATTGCAGAGACTGGAATATTTCATTGGCATTAAAGGAACCGCTCTAAGCTGGTTTAAGTCCTATTTATCAGATCGATTTCAGTTTGTACATGTTAACGATGAGTCCTCCATGCACGCCAAAGTTACTCATGGAGTTCCTCAAGGATCTGTCCTTGGACCAATCCTCTTCACTTTATATATGCTTCCTTTAGGCAATATTATCAGGAAACATTCCATAAGCTTTCATTGTTATGCAGATGATACTCAGTTATATCTATCGATCAAGCCAGATGAAACTCATCAGTTAGCTAAACTTCAAATGTGCCTTCAGGATGTTAAAACCTGGATGACCTGTAATTTTCTAATGTTAAACTCAGATAAAACTGAAGTTATTGCTCTGGGGCCTAAGCACCTCCGTGACGCATTATCTAAAGATATAGTTTCCCTGGATGGCATCGCCTTGGCCTCCAGCACCACTGTGAGGAATCTTGGAGTTATCTTTGATCAGGACATGTCGTTTAAGTCTCACATTAAGCAAATTTCAAGGACCGCCTTTTTTCACCTACGTAATATTGCGAAAATCAGGAACATCCTGTCTAAAAATGATGCAGAAAAACTAGTCCATGCATTTGTTACTTCTAGGCTGGATTACTGCAATTCCTTATTATCAGGCTGCTCGAAAAAGTCCATTAAGACTCTTCAGCTGATCCAGAATGCTGCAGCACGTGTTCTGACAGGAACCAGGAAAAGAGATCACATTTCTCCTGTTTTAGCTTCTTTGCATTGGCTTCCAGTAAAATCCAGAATAGAATTTAAAATCATTCTTCTTACCTACAAAGCTCTTAATGGTCAGGCACCATCTTATCTTAAAGAGCTCATAGTACCTTACTACCCCACCAGAGCACTGCGCTCCCAGAATGCAGGGTTACTTGTGGTTCCTAGAGTCTCCAAAAGTAGACTAGGAGCCAGAGCGTTCAGCTATCAAGCTCCTCTCCTGTGGAACCAGGTTCCAGTTTGGGTTCAGGAGGCAGACACCATCTCCACATTTAAGAGTAGGCTTAAGACTTTCCTCTTTGATAAAGCTTATAGTTAGGGCTGGCTCAGGTAGTCCTGAACCATCCCTTAGTTATGCTGCTATAGGCCTAGACTGCCGGGGGATTTCCCATGATGCACTGAGCTCCTCTCTCCTCTACTTTCTCTCCCTCTGTATGCAACCTTATCCCATTATTGCATGTTACTAACACAACTTCTCCCCTTTCTGGTAGTCTTGTGCTTTCTCGTCTCTCTCCTGTCTCCTATCACTTCCTGCAGGTTTTCTGGCTCTGGAGCTGTGGAGTCTGGAGCTGTGGCTGCGGGTCACCTGCTGCCCCTGTGTTCCTGCTCGACAACCTCTACTGCAACGACTATTGTTGCTAGTCTTATTGTTATTATTGTTATTATAATCATTAACATTACGATGGTTACCATTAACACTATTATAAATATCTGTACCATTTTTCATTTAGTCTATAGCAACATTACCTTCACTGTGTGTACCTCTGTGTGTATATTGTGTAGGCTGCCTCCCTCCCCTCTCTCTCCTTACATCTCTCTCTCTCTCTCTCTCTCTCTCTCTCTCTCTCTCTCACCCCAACCGGTCGAGGCAGATGGCCGCCCACCCTGAGCCATGGTTCTGCTCGAGGTTTCTGCCTCTTAAAAGGAAGTTTTTCCTTGCCTCTGTCGCCTAGTGCTTGCTCTTGGTGGGAACTGTTGGGCTTCTGTAAATAGCATCACAGAGTACGGTCTAGACCTGCTCTTTTATGAAAGCGCTGTGAGATAACTGTTGTTGTGATTTGGCGCTATATAAATAAAATTGAATTGAATTGAATTGAACCATAAAATCTATTACTTTATAAGCTTTTTCTCCCTCAATGGGAAGTGAGTGTGTGAACAGGTTTATCTCCCTACAGTGTGATGAACATAGAGAAAGAGGTCTCTCTCTCACACACACACACACACACACACACACACACACACACACACACATACACACTGACCTCCTCCCCCTTGTGTGTCCCTGCAGGGGAGACGATCGAGGAGGCGGTGAGGAGGGAGGTGGAGGAGGAGAGTGGTGTGAAGGTCGGACCGGTCCAATATGTCTCCTGCCAGCCCTGGCCGATGCCCTCCAACCTCATGATTGGCTGCCTTGCTGTCGCCATATCGACCGACATCAAAGTGGATGAGAATGAGATCGAGGAAGCCCGGTGGTTCCCACGGCAACAGGTACAAAGATAAGCGATATGACCGATACCAGTATAATAATGACATTAATAATAGTAGCACTACCACTACTACTGAATACAACCATTAGAATAATAATTTTAGTGTGATATATAACACTAAAGGCTGTAATAATGATAATATAAATAAAAATGATGATGAGGATGATGATGATGCTAATAATAAAAAAAATATATGTATTAAATATACTACAATAGCATAAATAAACATATTGGTGTTATACATACATGTTGTATTTTAAGTTCAAAATTAAAATTATAATTTGTAATGGTCACATAAAATAAAAGTTTTATGCAAAATGAATGATAAAATTAAGTTATGTAAGAAAAATAATAATTATAATAAAAAAATCTAAATTACAGAGAATTAATTGAGCATAGCTAAATGTGTGTATATTAAAAAAGGTTTTGGGAAAGTTGAAACTGAATTGGTTTTGCTTTTCAACTCTTATTACATTACATGACATTACATTAATCATTAATTACTTTTACACTTTTAGCATAGTATTTGCACATATTGTACGTTTTTAACATGTATCTACAGAACTGCAGAGTGTGTCCACACTGCTTGCTAAATCTGAAAATTAAGGGGGTAAGCCACAGTTGGAACAGTGAAGCCGACCAAAGCCGGCACGGACGGTTCCATGTAGGCACAAAAATTACATCAAAACCCTGGAAACATCCTGTCGCACATGAGAGATGTAACTGTATTGCTTGCATTATAAACTCTGTGAATCTAAAAAACAAAAAATATTTGGCCATCAGTGACGCTGCGTTGGTGTTTGGCAGGTGAGCCTTGTAGGTGGCTTTTTGTTGGTGCAGCTACCAGAATTATGGTGTTTCTGCCGTTGCTCTACGTCATTAAACCACGGTTATGCTGCACGATCATGCGCAGTAGACGCTGGTGCCGACAGAAAGTAGCCCAGTAGTAGTATTTTATTGGTCCAAAACTGGCTTCACTGCTCTCCATTCAGATCTGTAGGGTGGTTTTGTTAATATACTGCCTATGCTTGAATTGCATGTCTTTCTCTCTGGGCTGTGCATCCACAGTAAGGCGGCGTTTTTAAAATGCGAAAAGTGAGTTTTTGTCATCTCTGACTTTATGTGTGGTCTTGCATGTCAAGATAGCTGGACTTTGTGAGCGTGATCTAGTGATTTTATCAACAGCGGGAGTTACTGATCACAGTATTTATGACTCACAATCAAAGCACAGAAAAACAACAAGCAACAGAGCATTAAATATGTCTGTATTAAAGCACAGTTAAAGTGATGATGGAGAGCAAGAGGAGACAGAACGGAGGTTTACAATTAACACGTGTGCTGCTTTTTCATGAAACAAATCAGTGCGGACCACATCTTAACAAAAACAACCGAAAAGCACTGGTGTTCAGTGTGGACGCGGTCTCAGTGTTACAGAGAGATAGATCAAACTTTTCTTTGTTTTTGTTTAGGCAATTGAGTCCTTGCTCAGAGGAGCCTCTCCGGCCTTCACCGTCCCTCCCAGACAGACCATCGCCCACCAGCTGATCAGACACTGGGTCAGCATGACCTCTAATCTCTAACACTTGACCTCCCAGCCAGCTTAGGCAGACAGTATGGAGGTCTGCCTAAAAAAAAAAAAATAGCAGCAGCTGTCTGAACTGTTACTGCTTTATTACAACAAACTAGCTGCCAGTCAAGGGAATCACCAGATTCTTCAGGTTGTATCCAAATCATTTCAGTGCAGTGCTTGTGTCAGTTCAGATCTCAGGTTTAATTTTACACTTGGGAACTTGCTGTGTGACGATGGATCTAATAACAGACAAGTAAAGGTTAGGAAGAAATGGAGAAAGTACATACTGTTAGAGACCAGACAAATGCAGAAAGCTTAATATCTGCAAGCTGTATTTACATCACTCAGCTATTAACAGAAACAGTTCTATGAGCCAAGTGGACCGTGGCTACATTTCCAGAGTTCAGATAAATTATAACACCACAGACATTTAAAGAATAAACCTTCTATTATACAGTAACAAAAGAAACTATTTTGATGTTGAAGCATGATGACATTTTTACAATTAGACAAACTTTTTCAGGAAAGAGTTTCAGGCATCAGCTTTGTCGGATGGATTTCTTTCTCAAATCAAATGTCAGCCATCTGTATTTATGAAGTATAGTCTAATACAGTACACTTAGCTAAGAAGATTCATTAATTGATTATAAGAGCAAAACAGATTTTCTGCTAATCTATGCGGTAATGGATTAAATTTTATTTATATGGTGCCAATTCATAACAGAAGTTATCTCACTGCAGTTATCATGTAGAGCAGTTCTAGACCGTACTCTTTGAGAGGGTTGACAGGATGATGCCTGTACAATTTCACTACACCAAAGTCAAAACAGCAAAATGGCTGATCATTGACGCTGATGTACAACCTTTCCATAAACTGAAATGAACAGGAAATATTAAATTGCTTAATATAAGTACTTCTCATTGTCTGTGGCAGCATTTTGTCTAACATGTCACTGTTGTAAAAGTAAGGATGTTAACATGGTAAACATTAGTATGGCAACACAACTGTATGCATGTTTTTCCCCCCCTTGTATGTGCTGTCATGCAACAAAAGTCCTTGTCAGAATCCAGGAATGTTTTGGTCACCTGTGTCTTGGACTGATAGACCATGGTAAAATAATAATAACCATGCTATCAAGCTAACATTCATTTTATGGGTTATTATGCTAACGTTAGCGTGATAAAGTGCTAAATGTTTCCTGGATAACATTGAAAATGTTAACACTGGCAATAGTGGCTAACAAGCAAACTGAGCACTTTCACACTAAAACCAGCTTTTGTGGCTAAAGTTCAACTTACTGAACTATACCACCAAATACACTGATGCCCACAACATGTTTAATGCATTTGCAGCAACAGTTTTGCTGTAAAGAAGAATGGTGGAAAAGTTTATTTTGTGTATTTTCCTGACAATGAATTTGCAGAGTTTTGTAACTCTGTTCTTTGATCGTACTTGAGTGAAAAATCAAGAGGACAAAGATACCAGAAGAAACTCAATATTGTGATGATTCACATTCACAGTCTGTTGCATTCTAATTAGCTACTTTGTAGGATTATGTGTTACTCTTCGTTCTGCATACTACCTCACACAATTGTTGTTTTTACTCATCTCGTCTCGTCTGAAAGAGGTTGGGCTGTAGCCTCTTCTTATTTTTCCATCTGTGCCATTGACCGAGCATGGAGTACTGAAGTTGGTGGTTCTGTCTGCAGGTTTTTCAGTAAACAAACTGTTTGCTACATAAGTAGGCTCGCAGATCAGATAAGAACAGTTGCTCTGTCTACTCACTGTTTCAACATCTTTTTTCCCCAGAAAGGAAGAGTTTACTTCATATTCTGCCTCACAGGTCATCTGACAAGCACAGCGACTGTTTGTGTTAGCCGTGAGTTCACGAAAACAGCATTTTACAGCAGTTAATTTCTGATGGGACGTCTCTGAAAAGTCAGCCTGTCTGCTCTCTTTCTGTGGAAACCAGCTGTTAGCTTCATGTGTCTGATGCAGCAGAGCAGCGTCAGCCTCTCGGCTCTCCTCAGATATGAAAACTGTGTCAGGATGACAGCAGTTCACTGTGTAGTCAGGGTGACAGGAGGACTGGGCACAAGCTAGTTGATGCTCTGTGGTTATTGGAGCGTCAGAGACATACTCTGTGTCCAGTTCAAGGGTCGACAGTCTGACGATGAGGTGACTGATCAGCAGCACAGAGGTGTCTTCATGTAGGTCCTCTTCTGAGGAGGGCTGGGAGTTAGGACGGACAATGATAGGGCTTCTCTCCCCGAGTATGTCCGCCACCTGGAAGTCCTCTATGTTCAGGATGTTTCTCTCTGCAGTTTTCTGTTGAAGGGAATAATGGACTAGATTTCAATCAGGTAGGGGGAGTTAATGGATTTAAAGTGTTGCTGATATAAAAAAAGATTAGATTTATGGCAGGATAAACTAAAACTTCTGACTATTATACTGCTCAAAACAGAGTACTTCATTTGAGATGTAATGGACTAAAGATGAAGACACCAGATCTGTCTGTGAATTTTTTTCAGCTTCAGTGAAGAATTGGAACAAACTTACCTAATTCACTTCTAAATGTCATGAAAATTAAGAGTTAAATAAAGTCTGGTTACAGGGATGGAACCAAAAATCTGTCATACTGTAATTCTAAAGAAATAACTGTCTTAAATCAAGTTAAATATTTGATTTAACTCGACAAAGGAAATTGTTATTGAACAGATAAATTTTAGACGACTAAAAGTTTCATGCTGTAAAAACTACTCCGCTAATAATCCACTGTGTTTATCTGTCATGATCCTGTCTGTGTGTCTTTTTGGGGAGTCTGGGTTTTAGTTCTATATCTTTGGATTTTGTGTTTTCCCTTGCCCTTGTGGATTCTTCTTTGGACTCAGCCACTGCTTGTAAGTGCGCTCGCCTTTGGTTTGTTTAAATAAATCTTTGAACTATACCTGCCAGCCGTGTGTCCTACATTTGGGTCCTCCAACCTGCCTCTCCACACACTAACTGTGACATTATCTGCCAATCAGATGAGATTATTTAATGTTTTCAAATATAAACTTACTGTAACAAAGAAATTTATCTGCTGTATCCTGTCTTGTTTCAAGATACTGAGACTAATTTTCAGAAAACTGCGCGGGGAAAAAACGGGGATTGTTAGTCTTGAAAGCAGACTGAACTGAAAGTGACCCAGTTGGATTCGGCTGTAGAGCTGAGTCTAGCAGAGTCCCAGATGACCTGTGATAAAACAGGAGCAAAACAGTAACAACCCGGTTTTAAGAAAACCAAATTCACCTGGTGGTTTGGGTCCATCAGCCACTTGCCTGTTGTACTGCTCTGAGGGTTGGAGATGAGCGGGAAGAAGTATGACTTGTACCTAAACAGTAATTGTATTATAGATTAATTTTAATTGAACAGCTGGAGCAAGAAAGTCAAGTTTTTTTTCTAAGGACTTTTTTGTTTAATTTGAGTTTCGTGTGTGTGTGTGTTGACTCACACAGTCCTGGACAGGATGGAGATGACAAACACAGTAACAGCCAGCAGCAGCAGAGGAGTCGCTGTGGCCACCACTGGTACCTCATCTGAAATGGAAAAATATCCATTGTTAGTTCCCTTCAAATTCTAGTTAGATAGATTATTCTATTTTAATTCATTATCCAAGATATAATTTTCCAGGTTTCCATCTTAGATGTCAATTTAATCATTGCTTATAAGCATTATAGAAAAAAAACTCTCACAAAGCAAGAAAACCTAAACTCAAGATCCCCCTGGCTTGTCCTAATTCTTCTTTAATATCCAATAGTTCAACCAGTTAAACTCACCAAAATGTGTTCTCACAAAGATGATGTTTCTGGAAACATTATCAGCCAATAGCAGAAGAGCATACTCAGTGTTGGGTTTCAGGTTGAGGAGTTTGTGCTGCTGTTGGTCTGGCCACAAAGACAGAGCTGTGGAAGAGAGAGCGTTCTCTGCATTTACAGGTAGATTGTAAAAACCAACTCGAAAATGTCACTTACATTCAGTCTGATGCAGAAGGCAGAAGTTTGGACAAAATGTGCTGCACAAGTTTCAAAATAATGAACCAACAGATTTTCTTTCCGCTTTCTAACCGCAATGAGTAATACTTTTACATATCTTAATCACTCTTTTACAGTCCAACCATCATCACTTTTTAATTTACAAAAATAGGTATGTTTTTATCAAGAAACTTGTATTAAAAATATCATATAAAAACTAAAAAAATAAACTATTTTTGAAAATGCTTTTTTTTTTTCTTTTGCATTTATTCCTATTGTAACAGAGTGGTGACATAAAAATTAGCTAGGAGTTAAAATCTGTCATTATACTGAGACTTAAACTGAAGAGTGACTCCAGAGACTGATGCTGTGACCCGTTTCAGAAGGAAACTATTAACCTGTTAGTCTCTCGGTGTCTTTCTTCAGCAGCACGCTGTATCTGTTCACTCTGATTGGTCCAGACGCCTTTCGCCACGCCCAGCCAACTGTCACTGTCGTTTTGGTCACACCCACCACATTCAGGTTTATCGCCTCCATCAGAGCTGAGGAAAAAAAAAATAATAATAACATGTCCTGTCCTCTGTGGAGATGTTCATGTGATGTTCATGTTAATATCAATCTGTTGTAAATAACGTTCTGTGTAATTCTACAGCATGTACAATATTCCAGTTTAAAACTCAATGGAAAAACGCATTCCCCAAATAAATAAAAATCTAAGTCTGCAGTTTCACTTTGAACTGAAGTCAGCAAACTCTGTGTTCTGTTTTTGTATGGTGTTTGGGTCTGTTGGACCCGTTTTCATTTTTTATCAAAATAAAAAAAATAAAAAATTATACGATTATTTACTTTTTTCAAACTCAGACTCATTGGCTTTGGCTCATTTTCTGTGAAGAATATATATCAGAACACATTTTCAATGAAAACACGCTGTACACCCTCCCTACACATTTACATTACACACAGGATGTCCGGGTCCACTGGACCCGAGGCTAATAAAAGTGTGGAAACTGTAGGTCCTGTGTACCTTTACTCTGTCCTCCTCCTGTCAGTGTGTTTGTGTGTGTGTGTGTGTGTGTGTGTGTGTGTGTGTGTGTGAGTTTTGTGTTTCTGCACCTGCCGTTCCCGCACAAGGTTGCAACATTGTTGCAAAATCTAAGTACCAACACCGTCTGCTCTCACATTCCCGCACATTTTACCCTCTGTCTTGTGGGAACCAATATTTATTTTCTCTAAATTGGGGGCGGGACACAATAAATATAGCTTTACCAGTGTGGTTTCTTATCACAACTAATCAAGATGGCCAAAAGATTAACTGCTCAGAGGGCCTTGCAATTGATTTTGGAAGAGACAGAAGATTTTGATGATGTACAAGAAGAGGTTTCAGAATGTGAAGATCACACAGTCTGACAGTGACTTTGAAAAAGAGGATGAGATTGAGCATCACCTAGTTCCAAAATGAAGACGAGCCACAGGACCAAAGTCAATAGTTATGAAAAACCTTGCTTCATTTGTAAATTTGTTGAATTTTTCCACTCATACCTTGATTATAATTGATTTTCTTTTTTTATGTAATTTTAGTAAAAAATAAACAAAAAAAACAGTAGCACTTTAATTCTTAAATGTGATCTAACAAAGGTAAAGTGAAAATATTAACCATATATGCTGTTTATATTGCTTGTAATTGGGATGAAGTAAATATCTGTTGAGTATTTTAACACAAAATATTTTGATTGTGTTGAATTAAAAACCCCAAAATGCAGCGGGTCCACCAGACCCACGAACACTGGCTGAATAACAAAAATATGAACACTACACAAGGGGTTAAATGTCATCACCAGACATACAGTTCTTTTCTTCAGAGGTATTCTTTTAATGCTTCCTTTTACTGTGTGTTAACATC